TTCACCTTCATGACTTCTCACTGACCTGAACGTTTAAAATTATTTTGCCTTCATGGCTGAAGGAGTCACGGCTTAACGCTGTCTGTTGGTGTTTCCATCTACGGAACGTGATGTCTCGAAAGCATGGAGGGGATTTATTCACATTTGGCACAAACGTCCACTCAGACTGGAGGATAAACTGATTTTGGGGGTCAGACGTCAGAATTCTTGAGGTCATTGTGACAGAATTTCACACAATTGTTCAAGAACATGAAATAATGAAGTGATGACATTTAAAATCCCCAAAAAATCGCCGTCACTGTGACATTATGACATTCTGCAAAAACCCTTTTCTGGTCATTGTTTGATCCCTTCACTCTAAACTTCAGACAGCAGCAGCAGCTCCTGTAACTAAAGGTTTTGCTGTTATTAGACACTTGCTGCTGATAATATTTTATGAACAAGGGTTTGTGTCTGAATATTTTGCACAAATCATTTGAATGAGAGAGTTAATTTTAAGCCAGTAGAGCTTTAATAGTGAGTGACACTGGGCTACATACAGGAAAAATGACATGGGGGGAAAAAAAAGTCATGTTTGGAGAACCAAGCTCAATCTAATAGACGATAATTTTGTGAAACTTGAAAACTATTAGAGGATAAATAAATCCAACAGCCTCCATTAATGCTGTAAACATAAAGTATGTCTTAATTCTTCATGTTTGGTTCTGGATTTATCAATTTATCCATAAATTCTGATCATTTTATAAATTAAAAGCAGTTCATTCTCCATATGTGACCTCCAGTCCGGTGGTGTTTTCTAATGATCTGAGTGCAGAAGCTTCATTTTACTGCTGATTCACGTTTTAAACACTGTTTGTCAGAAGAAGCCTGAAGGACTTTACAGAAAACTACGGATGTGATAAAAGTTCAGCTCAAACAGGTTTCTTCTAAATAAGAAATCTGGTAAAACTCAGCTCACAGATATTTAAAAACCTGTGGCTGAGGAGCTGCTGTTTGTTTGACACTGTGACACAGATTTTAATGTGGAGCTGACGGATCTGGAGGCCGCTGGGGTTAGTAAACGTGCTCCACTAGAGGAGGGGGAGGGATCCACATCAGCACACATCGTCCCATCTGCATGCTAATTCTGGGCCCTGATTGATTGGGGCTCGTTGAGGCCTCTCCAGCCTCCTGCAGATCCACTCTGCCGAGCACCTCATGACTCTGAAGCACCTCATTACTCCACAGCGTGACGCACGGACGCACACGGCCGCTGATTGTGGAGGAAAAACCTCCTTCAGCCTCAAACCGTCTGATTATTGCACGACAACCAGCGTCAAAAACGGCAAAAAAATAAGCTTAAATATCACCAAAAATATCAATAAATACAACATTCACTCACTGCAACATAAAGTCCTGCAACTCTAAGGAGACAGAACCATAACTAGAAACAGAGCGATGTCATCTGTGCAACATGACAGAGTTTATTGCCATAAGTCCTTACAAAATTAAAGAAAAGCTGAATTTCTTTGATTATTTCTTGCACAAACATTTTAAACTGGAATCAACATTTCATTAAATGAGCACAGATGAAAACATTATGGTGACAACACACTACAGACTTTAAACAAAGCTTAAAACCTTTATGTTTAAAATGACTTCAACACACAGCCGCATTATTTCTGTTTTTATGTACACACTTTTAGACGTATATTTTAGTGTGCTTCTAGCAGTTTATTTTTTACTATTTTAGTGTTATTTTTATTGTTTTCATGCAACTCTCTTGTTTTTACTGTGAAGCACTTTGGTCACCCGTTGGGCTGTTGTAAAGGTCGATACAGATAAACTTTGACTGACTTTGATTTAACCAGTTTCCACACTTGTCTCCTCTCTGTTTTGCTAGAAAGGTTTCCTGCAGTTCAGCCGAAAAGTTGCTGAATTTTTCTGTCACGTGATTGTTGGTCACAGCTCAGTCAGTCGTGTGTTAAGGAGCTGAAATGTATTGATTTTCTTCTACAGAATCTGGAAAATTCAAACTGTTATTTTTGGCGAATATTCAAATGAGATGCGAATAAAGTGATTTTGATAAAAATATTAGTTTTTAGCTTAGCTCTGGTTATTACAGTTTTACAACAAGTCTCCTGACCACCAGCTCAAAGTGAGATCTGAGAAACTGCAGCAAAATGGACATTTTTGCCTCAGCAATGCAAAATTATTTCCAAAACAAACAACAGCTTTCATGCTCTGATGTGACTGACGCTGCCCTAAAAATTCTAACGTGCAGCTTCACCAAATATGATGCAGCAGATGCTTCATCTATTTTAGCAGCAGACGGCCTTTTCAGCTGAGGTGGTATGGACATCTGATTCAGATGCCTCCAGAGAGGCTTCCTCTGGAGGTCTTCCGAACACATCCACCAGGGAGGAGACGCCGGGGCAAACCCAGAACCCGCTGGAGAGATTATATCTCTTAGCTGGCCTGGGAATGCCTCGGGATCCCCCAGGCAGAGCTGGAGAGCGTCGCCGGGGGGAGGGAGGTCTGGGACAACCTGCTCCGCCTACTGCCCCCGGATAAGCGGAAGAAAATGGATGGATGGACGGCCTTGTCACTGAATGTACAACACTCTGCAACTTTTGATAAACTAGAGTTCATAGATTATCGTTTCCTCTGCTGTCTAAATGTTCTGCTCCACAAGTGTTAGAGACGGATAACACCAAATCTTTGTCTTTCTTTCATGCATAAAATCTGCTGTGTGAAACTTACATCTGTTGTAAACCTACTTTGGACACAGCTAGACTAACAGTTTCCACCTGCTTCCAGTCTTCACACCAACACGTTTGCCCAGCTTCTCTCAGAACAATAAATAAATAAGAATAGTGACTTAATGACTGAATGCTTTTACCACAGCGTCAGATCGTACCGTTCCAGAAAGGCGTCACATTTCCACGTACGACTCACCTTCCCCGTGGCGGTGATGACACTTGCTGGTCGACGGGATGTTCAGAGGTTTTACTTTGTTCTTGGCTGAAATTAAGAGAACTGACGCTCATAAAAGCCTCATGTGAAACTTCAGATGATGGTCTTCCACAAACAGATTAGTGCAACACAAGTCGACATGCCTCATTCTCACACACTGGTCGCTCTGCAGCAAGAACAAGCACTGACGTTCAGCGAGCCAACCCTGTGCTACACCTTGGTCAATGGTAGGTGTGTCACTGAGGGACCTTTATATGTCAGTCTTCTGACTTATTCCAACCATCAAATTAGACAATCAAATAAAAGAATCAGGGTCTCAAATAAAGTTATCTGCCAGAAGTACAACTTGCTTATTGCATTATAATTAAGGCACTTACAAAGTCCACTTAAAAAAACTAAAAATATCACTGATATGTCCCCCAGTCTGTGAGATTCCACAAATAAAAACAAATAAAAACACAAAAACACATCCCTACTTAAGATCAGAAGCTTTGGTAACAATCAAATCCTCATGAAGGCTTCATGTCAGAATCAAAAAGGCTTCAGTGCACAAACAGGTTCTTTAACAATCCTGTGGTTTTTACTCAGAGTTTAACAAACTGTGTGAGAAACATCAGTGATCTTCACAACAACACACAAACACATGAACATGCAACTACCAAGATACACAAACGACCATCTCATATAAACACCATCCAGAGTTCAGAAGCCAACCAGACTGAACACAACAACAGCAACAACACAAACACGACACGACAGCAGCGTTTCCACGTCTTACCTTTCCTCTGAATAGGCCCCTCCCCTCTGACATCACCATTAAACGATGTCTCTGATTGGCAGATACACAACATAATGAGTCTCCTGCAGTCATGTGACTCCTCAGTTATCAGCTACTCATGTGAAGTCAAAGGATTTTACGACTTGAGTTTCCAAACGGTGATAAAGAATCTCTGCACACAGATTCAGTCAACAAAAGGTCACAAGTTCAACAGTGATGAGTCAGATCATTATGAGGCTCCTGAATAACTAACAGCTGGTTCTTTGTGGGTCACTTTAGTCCTCAGAGACTGTTTTAAAGAGTCTCCAGGTGGACTGGCTCATCGAAATGTTCTCATCATTTATCTCTGGTGTAACTTCTACAGGGACAGAAGCTCTACTTGTCTGTGTAGGTCTTGTGTTGTTGATATAGTTCTATGTTCAGAAATCACAAGATAAGAAAAGAGAACCTTCTATTGATCCCACAGTGGAGGCATCTGAATGTTACAGCAGCAAAGATATAAATATGTGAACGGTGAGTCTGTTGTTTTCATTTCTGTATAAAACGTCCAGGTTTAAATGATGCCATGTGCTGCAAACACAAGCTTTGTATGTTTATCTGTGAATCACTGAGGCTCATGAGGCTGCAGGTGGAGTTCAGTCAGTGTTCTGTTCATTTAATTCAACTAAAAATAACATGCAGCTTTTAGTTTTTACCCCACAACCAGCTGATTGGTTGAAAAGTAAGTACAATTTCAGTCAACTAAGATTTTTCTTAACTGCAGCCCTGGTGCCTCCATAACAACGATCCACTGAGGCTTGACAAGACTTCTGTTGGTTCGAGGCGCTAAGATGTTAGCATGAGGTCTCTTGGAGCTTCTATATATAAGATGTGTTCTGAGAACGACGAGAATCATCTGTCCACTTAGTCTAATATATGAGAGACCTCGACATGTGGTGTTGTTACCAGATAAGCATGTTGTTCTCTTCATCCGAGAGTCATCATAATGATTTGGCTCATCTGTGGACATTACAGCCAGACAACAGTGACTTGTGCTACTTTATGTTATTATAAGTCGTCTGCAGGGTTTGATAAGCCAACAGAGACAATGAAACACACAAACCCACGACCACAAAACAGCCACTACAGCCAGGCGACACCTCGTCGCTGCTCTTACCTCTCCTGACTTTCCTCGGGCCGGGGGTTTTTACTGCCCCTCTAAGAGCTGCTTCTAGGATGGAAACCACAGAGACCATTTTGTGGATCAGTCAGAGTTTCACTTACTTTCTACAGCGTGACATATCCGTGTCCAGTACCACCTTGTGTCCTTTCTAACTGATAAATCATCTCAAATCAGCCTCAAAAAACTATCAGAGAATGTGAGATGAATTTAGTCACTTTTAATCTCTTCACTGCAGCGTGTGGATTCTGACAACGAGAATTTATTCACATGTGAAACAAAAGTGTTCATTAACCAAAATAAAGAGCTGAGTCATACAAATGCACGTCTCAAAATTAATCACCATTTATAAGCAACACACTTGAAATTATAAATTTGTTAGTTTTACAGGTGTCCTGTGCTCTTTCACTTTAACTGTACATCAAAACCTCAGCACTTCCACATATTATCCTGATATCTAGTGAACATGTAGATGCAAGATGTGGGAAACAGGAAATGTAAACTTTTAAGAGGTTCATATTTTAATGGAGACAAAATCAATTAAGTACAAATTAGCTCCCCCCCCTCCCCCAGTTCCTACTTTTTCTTGGAGATAAAGTCATTTATGGTTTCAAACTTGGTCTGTCAAGTTTACATGAGATGTTATCATGCATCAAATAAAATTTCTGTAAATTTAAGAAGCAGAAGCAGTTGCAGAACGCGATCAAACTCCAAACGCAAAGTGCTCCAGAAAAAATAAAAAATCTTGTTCTTCTGTTTAAACTGCAGTCAACACCTGATATTTACAGCAAATGACGAGCGTTCGCTGCCGACAGACACACGTCGAGGTGTCAGACGTCTGGACATAATGTGACTTTGTCCACTTACCAACAGAATTTTAAAAAAAAATAACAACAATCTAAGCCCAGAAATGCATCACGTAGTTGTTCAACAATGTTAAAGCCTTTAACAAGGAGGATCGTTCCTTCAAAGTCTAAAAAGAAGAAGCTGCTTGAAGACGTGTACAGGAGACGGCTGTATCAGAAATTAATGTCTTTTACCATGAATCTGTTAATAAATAAAAAAACAATACCAATAAATGGAAAAATGTTGAATATGTATGATGTAATTCTAGATATGAACTTGTTAGCAAAGAGCGTCTACATGATTTAATGCTATAAAGTCGTGAGCTCTGCAGCTGCAGCGGTCGAACAGCTCAGTGGAGGCGTCTTCATGATGAACCAAAGAGCTACAAACACAAGTTTAATGAGGGATAAATACCAGCCACAACCTGGCAACCCAAACACTATTGGCTCATAACTGATTAATTAGGGTTTACACACTTATTTATATATCTTTTGGATCCCCTATTACCTCCGTCTTTAATAAATTCCCCTCCACAGAGGAATCTTTACCAGAAAGAGGCACCTTAAAGAAATAAAAATCCTAATCTTATTACTGAGCTGCACTGATTGAAACTGATCCACAAGCCTAAGTCAGGTTCCTTGTGCTCATGGTAAGTGGAAGCACCACAGTCTTCTCCTCTCCTGCCAGGCGAAGCACTGGGTCTAGAAATCCACCGCAGCACGACGACCGCTCCGTGACTGAATGTGTGCGCAAAATAAACCCACAGACGCAGCTATCGGCAAACTAAACCTCCTCAGGTTCGTGTTTCGATGGATTCTCAGCTCCGATCCCACTGCTACACCAGTTCCGCGCAGATAAAGAGCTTGGTCTGCTCGTACTCTGGCTCTTATCCAGCTTTTATTAGCCTGCATTGGAAAGCTGATTAAGGATCAGCGGTGGCCGAGCGCTGCGAGAGCGAGGAACAGCGGCACGGTGAGTTCGAGGACTTGATGAAGGTCGCCCGGCTGATCACGCTACGCTGACTTGCAGGAAGGAACAGGACGGATAGAGCTGAGTCACTGTCGGCTTCACTGCATCACGAGCTGGAACATCCGGTCGACTAGTCGATCGACAGCAAATTATTTAAAAATAATTAGACCTATGTTAAGCCTGTTAAGCATTTAAGAGCAACTTAAACATTTATTAAGAGTTTCTCACACATTCTAATGTAGGTGTAAGCAGATTTATTTGCTTACTAATGAGTTTGTTAACGAGTAAAGGCTGCAAAACTTAACATAAAATAAATAATAGTCTTGACAAGAGAAGTTTGAACTGCTGACAAATACTGACCGTTAATAAAACATGTTGTGTCTTGTTTCCACTTACAGCTTTTTTATAGTGAATAGAAACCATTTATTCAGTGTTTACATGCTGTTAATATATACTTAGTAACTGGTATTACGCAGAATAAATTAACTGATTATTTAGTTTTTGTAATAATCAAATGATGTAGAAAATCTCAACATGGTATTTAAAAGGAAAGATCTGTTTAAAGACGAATTAGAATTTTATTGGCTTCCTTACTGGATAAATGGATAGTTTTATGTTAATTTAATTGCACTATTAAATGGTAAAGTTGTTAAACTGTAAGGCATTTAGACCTGCAGTATCTGTTTTATCAGGTGATCTAAGATACTGAATATTAATCTTAGAAAATACACATCACAGCTTGTCAGATGAAGCTGCATTTAAAAAAAAATCCATTTAAAAGTTTACTCATTTGTTTTCTGAAATGCAAAGAAAACTTCTCACTGGAAAAAGGCTGTGTCCTTTAAATCATTTAGACAGACAGTTTAATCATGCTAAAACCTTAAAGAACTGAATTCTTTAAACTTCACTGAGACTTTAAAGATTCTGCCTTCGGTTTGCTCCAAACACTTTCCCCTCCAGGCTGCAGAGGTGACCTCATTACTGCAGGAACTGAGCTGCTGTTACCTTCTCCCAGAGGGTCCAGTGTGTGGATCATCAGCTGGAAGATGGTGCTCCTCAGAGAGGTGTTGTGGAGGGACGCCGTGCTGCCGCCTCGCTGCAGGACGGGACGAACCTACAGGTCAGAAGACACACAGTCACACATCAAAGTGCAGCAGTTAACTTCCAGGTAACACAAACCGTTGAGGACCAACAGCAAAAACTGTATTTCATTGTAATAGCCCACATCATCAGCTCAAGTTCAGTTTTTATTGTTGAAGAGATTCAAATATAGATTAATATTTTCATTTGTTGCTAAAATGGAGAAAGGCCAATTATTGTCCAATGAGCTGTTTTGCAAATACTGTAAACTTGAATTGTGATGCACCGGTGATGGAAGCTGCAGGAGGTATTGTGGGAGTGTTGATGCAAAAGCCTTGAAACTTAAAAGAATAAAGAAAAAAACAAAACCGAATTCTTCCAGGGTTTCATATGGAACAAACACAGAACTAATCCTGTCAACTTGCAAGGTGGAACTTTTCAAATTCTTCTTCTTTAGAATCGGTTTCTGGTTCAAACATGTGTTGCTGATTTACCTCAACATTACAACTCGCCATTGTGTAGCACAGACTAATGTTTGACGAGAGTCACAGGTGAGCTGGTGTGCTCGAGGTGCAGTGAATGAGGAGGAGTGGATGGTAGACTTTATGTATCTGCACATTTGAGAAGAAAGAACAGTGTAGAGTTACATCGAAGCCACGAGGGCAGCAGGGGACGTGTAAATGTTTAACTTTCAGAGTTGATATTTTTTAGGGGTTAAATCAACAACCAGAGACGTTACAAGTTATTTTGCAAGATTTTTGTTTCATTCCCAGAAGACTGGAGACATTAAAAGTCAGCTAATGCTTTATTTTGAAAGAATAAAAGCTGCAAATGTGTCATGTTTAGAAATTAAATCTAGAAAGACTTTATAGATCTGCACATTCTAGTGTTGAGTTCCATCCAAGTCATTTTACACAGAAAAACTTGTAAATATTTAACTTTAATACACAGACATGTTTTTTTTTTCAGGATTAAATTAACCAGAGAGGGACTTTCAAAATGTCTGCAGGATTCTTGATTTATTTTAAGTTAGCAAGAGACATGAATGAATGAAAATGAGCTAAAGACAGTTTTTGAAACAGCCAAAGCTGCAGATGTGTCACTTTTAAACCTTTTTTTGTTTGTTTGTTTGTTTCTTATAAGCTTATTCTGGAGGAATTGAAGCTGGGACTTGCAGCACAGGTCATTTCCATCTATGTGGTGGCCACCCTGACCACTAGGCTACTGGGTCGGCCCAAAGAATTTCTAAGACTTGTAAAAATGAGTTTAACACCTTCATGTGATTAGAACTGTGTAGAAGATCCGTTAATACATACAAAAATAAAATAACTGCAGCCCTTTCAAGACATTTCCATGACAAAATGATACATTTCTTTATTCCAAAAGGTGGAAGACTAATTTCTGCCTTTAAGTTGGAACTTAATTCACAACCATTCATCGTTTCAATGGATGAATAAAATGAGAACAACAACGATAAATTCAGCTTTTCGTACCCTCAGTCTTGCTTTGTCCTCTTGTGGATCCGGCAGCAGTTTGCTGGACTGAGGGCTGCTGGGAGGTGGTGCCGGTTCTGGTTTGGATTTCTCTTCAGGTTTTGGAGGATCAGCTGGAGGAGCAGCAGCAGCAGGAGCAGGAGGAGGAGGAGGTGGAGGAGGTGGAGGAGCTTCACTCTCCTGTAAAATAACGGTTTAATCAGCAGCAATTCACTTTGCTACATGCAGACATGCTCACTGAGTGACAGACTTTGTGGATTACAGATGTTCACATTCCCATTTTCAGTAATTAAACATGTTTGATTTAATCCTGACGAACTGAAACTCGGTCTAAGCTATGATTAAATCTGCTGACTGTCAAAGGACAAGTGTAGTGGTGGGTCATGTCCAGTGTTCCTGGTCAGTCTGAACTAAAGCTTTTGCAGTAATCCAGTAATCTAGTTAACACTGTAGGCTGCAGGAGTTTCTCACTATCAGCAAAAAAGCACCAAACCTTAAGCCTTGAAGTGGATCCTTCAGTGCTTCATCCTGCTGCCCTGCACCACATCCAGCTTCGCTAGTTCTGCTGGTACTGATCTTACAAGGTGCATAGAGCCAAATTAAGCTGTGTTTGACCAAATGACACTTAGCTAACTTGCTCAATTTTGCTCCTGGACCCTTCAAAAGTTTATCTGTAAGAAGATGCTGGTCTCCAACAGTTCTTTGCCTTCATACAGATGAGCCGTAACACTATCAGTGACGTGAATAACATTGCTCATGTTGTACAACGCAACGTTCTGCTGGGATACTTTGTGTACTGACATTCATGTGGATGTTAGTCGAACATTTATCACCCAAAAAACACTCCTGCAGACCGTCTTTATAATAATGACGGCCGCTGCCTCCCCTCGTAAGAAAATGTGTCCTGCCACACTGCAACACCAGCTCAGGAACGACTCGAAGGACATGACAAGGAGTCTTAGGTAGTGAACCAGCCTCCAAACTCCCAGGATCCAAATCAAGCAGCCACGAGTTGCATCAGAACAAGCCTGATTCACAGAGGCCCAGGTCTGCAACCCACAGGACCCAACAGATCCAATGGCCCAGGAGTCAGTGTAGGCTTGGTCACACTGGCACATATTTGGAACCTTAACGGGTCAGCGCAGCTTCAGAAACCGCTTCTCCTCACGCCGTTCTAACATCACATCCAGGGGGCTGCCTCTAAAATCTACAAATGACCATCAAGCTGTGGCACTTTTCATGTGACTGAGTGCAACACTACGAAAACCTCTCAGGTGCCTGAAAATGTGCACCATAAGCCTGAATTATACACATTCTACATGAGAGCTGGTTTTCTATCCGCTTATACGCAAATCAAAAGTGAAGAAAGAACATGAAGGTCCTATCACGTTTGTTTCATGGCACTTATGCAGGTTGTTTTCTCCTGACTGGCTCCTTGCCTCTACTCTCAGATGTACGTCGCTTTGGAATAAATCGTCTGCCAAATGAAATTGTAGAATTGTAGACCTGAAAACAAACTCCTTCAGCAGCTGTCATTGTAGTTCTAACACATAAAGACACGATTAGATTGTAAATATGACTTACTAAACTAAAACAGTCCAGTTAACATGACTGCCCGGATATAGACAACAAAATGGAGAATTTTTACTGCAGGTGACATCAGGAATAAGTGAGATACATTATAGACAACTTACATAAAAGAATCCAGAGAGAACGATGAAGCGGCAAAATTTTCATACAAACCACTAAATAGCTACTGAGCAAATACATAATTAAGCATTTATTATATTTTATTTTAGTTGCTTTTGTTGTTTATTCAGATAAACACATTCAATTTATATGAAGTTCCTTCAAATCATGCGTTCCCCTGCCTGAGTCCAACATGATCTGTAACGTTCTGTGTGTTTTTTTGAATATTCAACAGGTTCTCTTCATTGAACACATTTATAGAAAGAGCTAAAAGAAAAAAACATTAGATTGTGGAAAATTTAAATGAATGGGTTAATATGAACAAAAACGAATATATACTAGAGTGAATTTCACTAATTCTGGATAATTAATGTGGCAGCACGCCTCATTACACTCACTGTTTGGACTTAAGGAGCACATGCTGATTGCAGACATGCTTCAGACTAATTGAAGATGCACTTGTGGTACTTGAAATATAGAAACACAGTTCTGCATGTTTATTGCAGGTTTAGACATTTGCTGCTCGCTTCCAGCAGTTCTAGTCTGCAGGCGTTCTGCAACAAGCTCACGTTTTGAGCGTGTTTGAAATGAAATGACGCCTCCGTACTCTGGCATTTCAGAGTGGTGTCAGAAGCACGGTGACATTTCCGTCACTTGGCCGCTGTGACGCGCTGCCTGCGACACCTGGAGTCCTTTCTGTTCACAGGCATCAAAGGATTTTACACAAATACAGGCTGTCACCTGCTCAGACCCCCAAATCAGCGTTTCTCTTTCAGTGTGTCTGAGCAGGCGGCAGTCCCAACTGTGAGGAGATGAAAGGACAGAAAACATGGACTAGATGGAAGTCTGTCTGCTAACAACTGCTCTGCACAGACATCTGCTGCGGCTGCATCCATCTTGTGTCATGTCTGATTACTGATGTTTTTTTTTCCACTTTGCTCAGATAAAATAGTTTTAAATCAACACCTGTTGCAGTTAATTCAGCACTTCATGTATTTCTCTTCATTGTCTTTCCTTCTGCCAACACTCGCTGTTATGCAAAAACCAAAACCAGTGATTTAAGGAATGAGATTTTTTTCAATATGATTTTGCAACAGTGATTTAATTTGTGATATAATTTTTTAAACTCAAGCTTCAGTTCAATATTTACTGTGTAGTAGATTTAAAACGTGATGGAGCGCAAATGGGTGCGAAAAACAAAACGCACTTATCCATATTATATATATGGCAAAAAAGGTGAATAGAAAGAACAATATATGAATAATTACTTCTGTGAAGGGGACTGAGTAAGATGTATATGAGTTGCCATCGCCAGTGTCGCACTACAAGAAAGGCATGAATATGGAAAACCTTTGACACTTTAAACTCAAGTCAGATCTGCTGCATAATGTGCATCCATAATTTCAGCTTTTGCAATCTGGAAATTGCTTTTTTGTCCAAAAAAGCCCCATTTTTTTCCTCAAACAGCATTGTAGTGTTGAGCAAAAACAAAAATAAACTGTGCATTTGTTGGGGACCAACTTTAACTATCAACCATTTTAACAAGTGTTTAGACCAGCAGCTGATTTTGTTCTTGTCACTGTTGATAAACTATAACTGAGTCTATCCAACCTCATTCATTAAATTAGTGATAATCCTGTTGTGCTATTGTTCTCCAAAAAGATGGTTTGTTCTTTAAGTTTTGCTTTAAGCATGTTTTTTTTTTTCTTAGTGCATCACTGAGTAGTGGGACAAGAGGTCAACCGATTATTGCAGATTTTTAACCAATTCCTGATAAACTACTTTGGTCTCCAGCAATGTCCCGCCCACAACACTATCTGATTGGTTACAACATCACGAGTAACAGCCAATCAACACTCAGGGATACACCTTGAAAAGTTTTTTTTAAAAAATGTAGTTATGAACAAAAACATTTCAACAAGGTTGACACCAATATTTTCATTTTTTCTGCAAAAATATATTTGTTGCTTCCAAACACTTGATATCGGTCTAACTGATCACTAGTAACTGATACTGGCTCTGAAGAAACCATGTTGTTCAACCCCAACACTGAACAACAGTTAGATTTTGCAAAGACTTGCCATGTCGGTGGTTGACCACATATCAACGTAGACTAAACTATTACTTGTTTGGTCTGATGTTTTGTCCAATGAAGCTTCAAAAACTCCAAAATAATTACCTTCCTGTCATACATTATTACGAAAACCAGCAAATATTTCATAGTAATACCTTTAAAAACTAAACCTTTAAAAACCTTTAAAAACTAAAACTGGTGAGTTTTCAGAATTTGTTTTAAAAACAGACAAATAATTATCCAAAGAATTACATATTTCCTGTTGAAAAGCTAATCAAATGATTAGTTGTTTTGGCTCAAATTTCAAAGACATGAAACCACAGAGTCAAAATTCGAAGTTGCAGGTCGTTGAAGGCGCCAACTTGTGGCTGTAATCAGTTATTTGAAGCTGCCAATATTAAATAAAGAGCTTCCTGCTACATCACAGAGCTGAAGAAGCAGCCTTTTAGATCTTCATTTAACTGTTAAATCAGCTGAAGGAAACCAACTCAGACAGTGACAGCAGGAACTCTACTGACACTGCTGTGCATTGCATCCTCTCCTGAGATAAATTCAACGAGAACACCCATGTTTTGTCTCCAGATGTGAGTCCAAACAAGGCATTAACTGACCTTCTCCGGCTCCTCTGCGGTCCAAACCTTCACGATACTCATGTGCTTGTTGACCTGGGTCTTGACCGCATGCTCGATCTGACTGTTGAACTTCATGAAGCTCACGTAGCTGATGTAGCCTAGCACCAGCAGCATGCTCTCCCACCACAGGATCATGTTGTCCAGGAAGAAGACGATGAGCATGATGAGGTCCAGGATGTAGAAGGTCACGTCTCTGAAGAGGGGCCACCAGGTGAGGTGCAGCATCTCCCGGGAGAAGATGGCGCACATGCCAATCACAAAGAGGATGTTGAAGACGGCCGAGCCCACGATGGTGCCGATGCCCACGTTGCTGTGGGAGATGAAGACGCCGATCAGGGAGGTGAAGAGCTCGGGGGCTGAGCCTCCGGCCGCCATGAAGGTCGCCCCGGCCACGTCATCGGAGATCTGCAGCTTGTTGGTGATGACCTCCAGCCCAGGGACGAAGAACTCATCGCAGACGATGGCCAGGGCGACAAACATGTAGGTCATGCCCAGGATGTGCAGGACCACCCAGCCTTGTCGCCGCTGCTCCACTGAGAAGATGTCCTCGGGGTACTCGCCCTTCCTGTGAGGGGGCTGCGGTGGGGGAGGAGATGGAGCTGCAGTGGTCAGAGGTGGAGGAGGAGGTGAGGTCGGTTTGGGAGGCTGAGGATCTACATAGATACACTGTTCTATATCTGTCCTGTTGACGATGATCACCAGAGGAGGTTTGGTGCCCTCAGGTGAGACGACCACCTCCTCCGTCTCATTGGACGCCATCACCTCTCGAACATGGACCTCCACCACATCACCACCGCCCCCCTCTGCTCCGTCATCTGCCCGGGCGGAGGCTCGGGGCTCCGACAGCCGGGCCTTCAGAGTCAGCGTGTAGACGAAACACAGCAGCACACCTGAGACGAAGAAGAGGACGCGGCTGCGCCTGAGTCTCCTCCTCGGAGGCGAGTGCACCTTCATGGTCTCGACTCCAAGCAGGAAGCTACGTCAGGTGCATTGCTATTCCTTGATGGCTGCTGTGCTGCTATGTGGCGCGAAGACGCCGCTGACGGAGAAGAGACTCACACTCAGACACAAAGTGTGTTTCATCTTTCACAGCGGGCAGCTTCAACCTGTGGAAGGACTGAAGAGCAGAAAACACACACAGCTGTAAAAAGCACACCATCCTGAACATGTGTAACATCCTCTTTGCTTGAATTGTTGCAGATCTGCTCAAGTGTGTGAGCTGATGGAGGATGCAGACAGCCACCTGTTACTATGGCTACATAATCACTCAGGCTTTGCCTTCCCACAAAACAGGAGTCCATTGAAAACACGTCAAACACGTTAAAGCGAGAATAAAATGAAAATAATAATAATAAAAAGCGGTCAAACATCAAAACAGAAGCAATTAATTCCGGATGTACTACATTTATCGTTAAAGCGGGAGCGCGTGCACGGAGGGAGCGTGATAAAATGCGCGCGTGCAGCGAGTGATAATTAAACATTAATTAAGCAGAACATCAGCGCGTTAACATCCCCGGTAACAAAAACCACTAAATCTAACACTACCAGCGCGTGTTGGGGTTTAAGTGTGACGCCAGCGCGGATTGTGATGCCGGTCGATGGAGCCCAATCGTTAATCTATAATCAATCACTGTTCAAAAATACTTCCATAGAGGCAACAAGAGGCAGAAAGCGGCGGTGAGCGCCGAGAGGAGGTGCGGGTCCTACCTGTAGCTCCGGCTGCTCGGCCCCTCGCGGCCGCTCAGCGTCCCTCCAGCTGTGCGCAACGGACGCAGAGATGCTGACTCCGGTTTTTGGGGAGCTACAAGGGCGCACCGCATGTCAGGGCTGGAGCGGAGCTCAGCATAATGCCGCTAAGAGGATTAGGAGCCGCACACCTCTCACCTTCCCTTTCACACATATCGCTGTATCAATACACCAACATTCACAGCCCGCTGGAGGCACAGCGGTGACAAGTTCTGGGCTCACAGGAGGAGTTTGGGTTGGGTGTGCTCAGTGTGGAGCTGACTACATGTCAAATATATTCAACATAGACACAGTCTAAAACACGTTTCTATTTCTTCTGTTTTTGTTTAGGACCAGGTTTGATTCATGTCTGGGAAACTGACTTCATGTGAATAAAAATAAACGGCTTTTTTGGTTTATGTGTAAAAGTTTGCTTCACATCAGTAATTTTCTAATGTGAAACATGTTTTGTCATTAAATAATACTAAGTTAGTGTACAAACCTACTTTCACTAATTGCATGTAATCACAACCAGTTTTGAAATATGAACAGAGTTTGCACTAAACTTTAATAACTGAATTTAAAATAGAACAATTAATTTTGAAAGAGTTTTCCACTGAGCTGGTTGACTATAAATCCATATCAGAAAAAAACTGGTACGTTGATGTAAAGCAGAGCAGCAACCAACAGTTATTTGTATTTTTTAGTTCATGGGATTATTTCCCAGATTCAACTACTTCTTCTCCACCACTTTTTCCAAAAGCACAAGTTTACATGTTCAGATCAGATGATTTTGATTTTTCAGCTTACAGTTACAGATTACTACAAAAAACAGCAAATACTCTGGTTTTAAAACTAGAACTGGTGACGAAGCAAAAGACACAATTCCAGCTATTACAGATGAAATGTTTTACCTGCGTTACAGTTGTTCTGGCTGATCGGAGCTCTGCTGAGGCTGAAGTCGGGCTGAGAAAAGCTGCAGATTAGCTGAGGTAGTTAAAAAGTCCAAATAAAGATGGTAAGTTTCAGTTGTGTCACCCTAACAGAGGAAAGTCAACTTTTATGAGAAGGAGCGTGACGGAGGTTTCAATCAAAGTCTGTAAAGCGACTGGTTCAATCAGGTGAAGTGAGAACACCTGAGGCTTTAACAGCCAATTATCACAGCAGCATCTGATGATACTATATTGTATATATAATATTATAAATTACTTCAAATGTTATATGAATTAAACAATATCAAACAAACAAGAATGGTCCTAAAAACAAAAGGAGTTGCTGTTTCTAACCTGGATTTATGTAGCTCGAGTCCATTGGCTGTTTAAATATGTTTTACTTTTGTCCCATGTCTGTTGTCATGTTTGATTTGATCACTTTTATAACCTCACAATGGCGCATTTTCTTGGTCAAGTCAAAAATAAAGGTTTTTAGTGTAGAAAGCTGTATGTATCTGTGGTCCCTTGTTGTTTTAATGTGTTTGTTTGTTTTTTTTTTCAAATATAATTTTTGTTCCTTATATTGGCTTCTTGGCCAGGTCACCGTCAAAACAAACAAACAAACAAAAATGGCTAAATCAAAAAATAAAATAAAAAATTAGAATGACAACTGTAGCTAACATCAAGCCTAAACTTGGAAATTAAATAAAACATTATGGTCAAAATTTCTGACTGTGTCCAGGTTTCCAAGAGAACGTTGTGAGGTTGTTACAGCCATTACAGTGACTTAATTATATAAGTGTGTGTGTGTGTGTTTGTGTGTGTGTGTATAAAGCAGAGTAAAGCACATAAAAATAAGGAGTATTAAAAACAAAACAAGAAAGATTCCTAAAAAAAGACAGAAATTGCTATTCCTAAGCTGGATTCTATTTTATGTATCTGTCGTCTCTTCTAATGCGTTTTATTTTTGTCATGCTTGATTTTTTTTTATCACTTTTGTAGCCGTACAGTGGGATGCTGTCTTGGCTAGCCCTGCCTCAAAAATTTTAAAATCAAGAGACTTCAAAGTTAAATAAAAACCTTAAACTTCGACGCAGACGCTAAACTCCAACCTGCTGACAATCAAATAAAAAACAAATTAAGCGTATCTGGTTAACTGCTAAATTTTCAATATTGTTGGAAAGTATCCAGATGAGCTGGAGAGTTCCTGGGGTTGTTACCTTCATTATGATGACTTCATTTGTATTTAAACTTTGTATTTCAATGCAGAAAGCTGGAAGAAGCATGAGAGAACTTATATATATATATATTAAATATTACTGTTTTCATCAAACTTAATCACGAAAACTAATCTTAAGGTGCCTGTATGTTCACTGCATCTGAGATTTCTTTGGAATACACAGTATTTGTGCACAAAATACAGGATGTTTTGTCACCTGTCTCTTATGGATCTCTCAATGTGCATCTTGGTGACCATGTCTATATTAGAAAACTGAAAAAATGTGAAACTATCCTTCAAACATCCCACATGATTCAGAAATGTGTTCTCCTATAAACTGATAATCATCTCAGGATCAGACAGATGTTCTTTGAGATGGATGAGTGCTCTCTAACGAGGTTTAGCACATCCTGAAGAAGATGTAAACATCTACAGGATTTGACATCAAACCACTGCATCAGAATCACGAGTGTGGACTTATTTCTACTCCTGCACTGACATACCTCCTGGTGGTAACGATGGACACCAGCTACCTGCAGCTCACCTACTCTCATCCTGATCTCTCCCTCTACTGCCATGTCTGACGTCTGCATCTCCACTTTAAAAGTATCTGCTGAACAGAAAACACCAAAACAACATCACAAAAGGAGAAAAGAAATCCCATCTTTAAAATAGGAATGTTTATTTTTTTTTCAGGAACATCTTAAAAGAAGCCAAACGTTGGACTTTCACGTCTGCAGAAGAACTTTAAAAATGGATTTTTAAGCACTCAGCTGTGTGTCCACTACAGATGTTTCCCAAATGACACCCTCCAAAAAAACACAAAATAAAAGCAACATTTTCAGCAAACACACATAAATTAAAGAGAAAAAAAAGGCTTTGAAATGGTGAACAGGTAAGTGAGCAGTGAAGAACTGGAAAGGAAAGAAACAAGACATCAACTCGCTAAGTTTTGCTCTTAATTTACAGTCAGTAACATAAATGATAAGATCGTGGTGGACGGCTCATGAACGACTCTTTAGAAATGATTGATAAACTGCTAAATCTCAAGTACAAGCAATGATTTCCTTCATTTCAATGTGACTAAACTTTCACAGGCGCTGTGTTTTTCATATTTCAAGTTTCGGGGGTCCACATAAGGCAAAAAAAAAATCTGATCAAACAGTAAAAATAAAATGACAAAAGTTAGAAAAACGTTCAAATTAAAACTACCAAATATTTATTATGATAGGCTGCTAAGTTTTTCAAAGTAAATCCATCTAATTACTAACAAAACTTCCCTTTATCCTTTAAAAGGAAGATATTTATTTTTAAAAAGCCATGATAGTAGGTTTCTTGACACAAACACAAACATTCATAATTGAAAGTAAGAAAACAAGTTGCTAAAACATCGGCCGATACTCGTTTTTTTTTTACCATAAACTCTTAAAATAGCAGAAAATTGTTGATACAGATCTTTTAAGTCTGGTTTCATAAAAGAACTTTGACCAAAACGAAGCCTCCTCCAAAAGTTTGTCAAAGCTACGGAAGAACTAATGCTTCTGCCACGTCAGGCAATTAAATCCGACATCAAAATAAGACAAAACACCAACAACTTCTGCATTTATTTCAAGTTATTTATATGCAAATAACTTTAAAATGCATACATACAGTTGAAACCAGAAGTTTACATACATGCCGTCTGACATTAAATGTGACTAAACTTTTCCTGTTTCAGGTCAGTTAGGATTACCAAAATGAGCAAATAGAAATTATCTTGGTTTCCTAGCTGACCTGAAACAGGAAAAGTTTTGTCACATTTCATGTCAGACAGTGAGAAAAAAAAAGGCTAGTGTACGTAAACTTCTGGTTTCAACTGTACGTAAACGTTTAACAGCAAGTTAACAGTACAGTGAAGTTGTAGTCTACTGTGAGCGTACTTTTGGCCTGTAAATACTCACTAAAAAACAAAAAAGGCTGCTTTTGTCTTGTTCTGTTTTGAGCTATAATTTGAATGCCTAATAAAAGCAGCAGAAACTTTAACACTTTTTCTGAGGGCACGTATGTACTGAGCAGGACATGTGACAGATAAAAACTAGACTTCATAACGAGCTCTTTGGTGGACAAACAAACTGCAGAATTTTCTGATTATTTGATCGCTGGTTCTGATCATATCTCAAAGTTCAAACTACTCCTTTAGGTCTTGTTGTAATCAAAGCACTGTTAAAGTCCTCTGATTGCATCGGAACGTTGAAAAAACAAGCATATAAATTGCTTTTTCTCAGTCCGATTCACGGGGCGAGGCTGGGGAGGCATGCGGTAATATATTTATTAATACTATCACTGTAGGAAGGTAGGCCTTTTAATTCTACACAAACAGAACTGGAGGTGCAGGGGGTCGTTATCTGGCAGAAATTCATCCACACGGGGGAAAAACACGACTGGGAGTAATAGTTAAGATAATTAGCAAGCTGGAAGCAAAGGAATTCACATGTTAAAATCGATCAAGCACTTTGTCAACACCCTCTATCTCAGTCTTCTCTGCACAAACAAAACATGAACGAGCAGCGATCAATACTTGTGAACTTCACGTCAATCCCTGCTCCTTCTTCAAACTGCTGCACCTGAAGTCTGTTTGCATCCCTGAACGAGTGACTGAGCTCTGAGCTGATGTGTGTTCTGCTTCACCAACATTAAAGTGGAACTGAACGCCCCCTGAATGTCCTGCTTTGATATGTGATGCGCAGGTGGACCCAGGGACTCTGTGTTGCACCTGGTTACAGGTGCAGCAAAGCTCATACCTGCACTCCACCAGAGCTGCATTAAGCTTCACACTTTGGTGTTAGAATTCTCCCCCATCCTTCATATATTTTCTATCATGTGGTGTAAACACTCGCTCACTGATCCCGTGACTGTCACATTACTGTCACATTTCAGGATGAGAACGAGGTTTTCCTTCACAGTTTACATCTCATCTTTTTCAGCCGTGTGCCTTTTGCAGCTTTGAAACAACAAAAGTTATGATTCTAGAGAACAGAAAACACTTCAGATCACGAGGTCTAAGCACAAGCTCCTGTTGTAGTTTAGAAATAAAACTACCTGTACAGGCCTGTATAGAGGATTGTGGATTCTGTTAGAAATAAAAGCTGTTTAAAAAAATAGTTTCCCTGAAAGTAATTTGCATGGTTTTGTTAATATTTAAAGCACTGACCGACTGGACGGCTTCATCCGAGGCTCAGTGCTTAAAATGCACTTCTGAAACCAACAAAAACAAAACTTGCAGTTCACAACTGCTGTGTTTGAATGTAAAGGCATCTCATGTAATATGTAAGTTAATTTAAAAACCCTATAAGTGGTGTATTAGCTTATTAACCTCAGCTTGTGTAATTCACATCACTGCTGACTTATTCTTCACAGAGTTAACACTAAACATGAGATAGATAATCCATCACAGATTATTTTTTCAAGTGTACGTTGAAAAATGATGTTTACATGCACACAATATTTTGAAAAAGATGATATTCCTACTAAGCTGTTTAAATGACTGATGAAAAGAAATATTCTGCTGATATTTCTGTTTGCGTACTCCCATGAACAACGCCAGCATGTTGTTTATTACAGCAAAGGAAGGAAAAATGGAATGACTTGTGCCATTTTGCATAAACAGAATTTTGTCACTTTTCTACCATTAGTGGACCATAAAAACACAGCCTCCTTCCTTATTCCTTCAACCACAAAACACCTGCACAAGTCTTTTATACGTAAAGTAAGTGTGTTTCTTCTGTTGGCCAGAAATCTGGGCTTTCCTTTTGGGCCGTGAATCTCCACCTCAGTCTTGTGAAATGTTGGTTAGTTGGTGTTTGTACAATAAACAGAACTGATGTAAACAGGCAAAGAGTCTAAATAATGCTCAGAATCAGAAAATCCTGAATTCGGAGCAACCCTTAATTCAGACTACATAAAGCGAATAGCGACATCTGGAATATTGTCCATCTCAGAATAATAGTGGAGTATTAGTGTGCATGTAAACATAATGCTGCCTTTTACGTCACGGTTCCTGTTCAAGCAGGAACGACAACCGTTTTCAAACTCTCGTGGTGTATTTCCTACAACTGATAGTGAGCTCATGAAAGCAGAGTTACTGAACCATTTTCAAAACAAGCAAACAACGTCAGGGAAATCCCTCAGATGTGTTAAAGTAGCACATAAAATCCAAACTTTTGAGACAGTGAAGCGTCTTTGAACACAACGAGAGAGCATCAGAACTGTATCAGCTTTTAAGTGCATTAACACACAACAATAAATATAACATGAAGGTAGTTATGTGTCTGTCTGACTACGACAGAGTTGTGAGTTGTAATAAATGCATTAAAAGATCATGAAGCATCAGTAAACATGTTGTAAAGAGATGTTTTGAACCAGACTGTAAAAGTTTTAAATTCATAAATAAAATGTAAATGACAGCTCATCAACTCCTCTCCTATGAAGCATGTCAACAGTAACTTGTGTATTTCCAATTATAAACATCATTGCTTCCATATTTTAATGATACATGAAGCCAAGATTCATAATTGGGCAGCAGTTTGTTGAAAACATCAGTATTGGTTTTCTTATTATATTTCCATCCTTGTTAAAATGTGAAAAACACTTCACCCACATCCCAAACCAGACAAATCAACAAACAAAACTGTGTGTACAACCGTAAATGATGATCGGAGAATGACACCTCTAGTGCAGAAATCGTAATAAACATGGACATTTTGGAGAGAATACACTTGGTAACAACTTAAACTCACGTCAGTAAAGTACTGCATCAGCCTGTACAGCGTACCAGGACACGTTTGGAGCTGGTACAGTAGAGAAAACAGTTCACCCAGTGGAGGAAAAATGTGACCAGTACTCCATCATCATCATCATCATCATCAGCTGAGTGGGTGTTTAGGAAGATGAGACAAAGAAATAAGAGGAAAAGGAAACAGGGTGTGTGCAAAGTAAGCGTGCTGATCGGTTAGTGGACCTTCCTTTTCCTCGAGCGGAACCGTCTCCTCCTCTGCTTGTACAGGTGTCGGAAGTTGATGAAGAGTCCTGTGGAGACAGAACCTCTGTCAGTATCTAGCTCATTAACTTGTTGCCATGTTTCTCTCACTGGCTGGCTGAACTGAATTGTCTCTGCAGACCAGCAAACGAAAAGTCCTGTCAGCACAGCACCGCTCTACAGACGCCTCGGGTAATTCATCAGTTCTTCCACAAGCCTTGTTACACTGCTGACGTGAACATGTGTTAACTGCAGTTTTCCAGGTTTAATGAACGTGTTTGAGTTTGGTAATCCATCACAGTGAACTTCTCCTTTTATTTGTCGAATCAGTGTTCACGTCAAGCAGGATTAACAACAAAGAAAAATAAAAACAAACAAAAAAAACCCCAATCTGACTTGCTCAGATGACTGTATATGTATGCAGCCAAACATTTCTCAGAATTTTGCAAAGAAATTACAGGTGTCACACAGAAATACCTTTTAACTCCAGCCTGCATCAGCTTATTATTACAGATTATTATTAATACTCCTTTGATCCCTAAAATCTGCCAGTGGGTTTGAAAGGCACGTTGTCTCCACAAAATCACACCATTTGTCGATAATGCAATGTGACTTTTCTAAACGATTTACGTCATTAGAGTTGTGTCATAGAGAATAAAAGACATTTTAGAGTTGTCTCTATTTCCAGTCATGGTTGTTCTGTTTCCATAGAGATGCAGGATTTCACAGTGCAGTGAAAAATGAGTCACAGTGAGTAAAAATGTGACAGGAGCAAAAAAAAAACAAAAAACACCCAAGGGACCTCGATTTACATCAAACTATGTCAGATTAGGTGATTAAGTGTTGTGGCATGGCAGATCTCCCTTAGAACTACTGTGAATCAGCTTACCTCTTTAAGTGATATTATTCTGGTGCAGTGAGAATTTCTTAAGAGGAAACTATCGCAAATAACTCACATACATATGAACCTTTGAACACTAAATCTATGACAAAATGTGTTTTTAATATCATATAAAAACTAAATGATATTATCAAAGTTTGAAATTGTTTTCTTGTTTTTTCCTGATCAGCTTTCAGATAATATACGAGTCCTGTGGGAACTTTTATTTGGACAGACGGACAAACAACTTATGCTGAACTTACAACTACGTTGACCTTGTGAACAAACACATACCATGATCAAGTTCTAAAGATATGGATGAAATGTTCTCTTGGTTGGCTGTAAGATGTGGGTGGTGATATGTCAGTGGATATCTCACCCAGAAACATGAGGACCAGGTAGAGCTGTAGAGTGTAGGAGAAGCTTAAAGAGTGACCCAGCATGGCAGGCAGGGGGAGGCTGAACAGACGGGTCTCATCGAAGATGGGCAGCGACTGGATCACAGCCACCGCTGGAAAAAACAACAGATGTCAGCAACGTTTAGCCACAACTGACACCATCCAGATTTTCTTCACTAACCAAAGAGTCACCAACCTTCAGCTATGACCCCCAGTGGGTACAGAGGGATCCACAGGCTGTATCTCAGCCACGTCAGCAGCTTCCACTCTGTGCTAATGCAGGCCAGCATGTAGAACGGATATCTGACGTAGAGAAAGAGGAGCCGATGTTAAAACAGGCAACAACTCGAGTAGGTCAGGAGAGCAGAGGAATGTGATCTGAGCCGACCTGAAGATCTCGATGGTGCTCCACAGGTAGAACACGAAGAAGACCACAGGTTTGTTCTGCATCTCCTCCACGCTGCCGAAGATGACGAACAAAATGACGTTCCTTCCTGCCACCTGCAACATTACAAAACAGAACAAACAGGATCTTAGACTGACGTAAAAGGGAACACAAATGTAGATTAGAGCTTAGTAAAACTATTCTAATTTCATAGCACTACAGGTCTGGTCTCCCCTTTCACGAGCCATGGTGCCTCCTCCCTGCTGTTCCTACCATGACTGTGGATCAAACACAGACTTACCTACAACAAGGAACAGTGTGCCGCCTCAAAAATGTGACTAAAACCAGAAATGTTATTCGAAGTTCTTGCAAAAACCTGTTAAACCTGATTTGCTGTAGTCTTGTTACACTCTCATCCAACCAGATTCTCATTGGTTGGACAACCGCCAGTGTTACTTCCATAAAGATAAAAATCGTCGCATTAACAGCCTTTCAGTAGAAAGACAAATATTTTCCAAGGCAAAAGCGTGTAACACCACGAAAAACTCCGGTTTTGCTGCTGCTCGTTGTAAACAAGTCAAACTCGGACACAGAGATGACGAAGAGTTAAGATCGCTGACGAACGATCAGCGGTGAGATCACTCACTCTGCCACAAAGTCTGAAACCAACACAGCGCACAGAGCCTCACTGACGGGTTTTCAGAGAACTACAGAAAACAGCTTTGTAAACTTTTTATCCAACTTTTTAACCAACTTATTCAACTTACATTTTTATGAACTGATTCTCATCAACTTTAAAGACAGCTCAGTCTTTGAGAGTCCAGAACATCAGAGGGCTGCATCAATAATGTTCTGCAGTAACTTCACTCATCATGTAGCTTATATCCAGCAGACACCTGTGGCCTAAACCTGAAGATTAAGTCATCAGTACAGCTGGTAGCTGTATTCATGCTGCATGGAAAGAAAAATGCAAAATGCAATTTTAAAATAAAATACCCCACATTACAGACCTATTTGTTCAGAAAACTTTTGCTTTTACTGATGCATATTGTGTTTAACGCTTTGTTGCATGTTTTTGTTCTTGAAAATTCCTCTCTGTTGTAAAGTTAAACACATACTAAAGGACAACGTGTAAAACAGTAAAATGTTCTGCCTGTGATTCATATCTTTGTTGTTGTAGCATTAAGGGACCAAAAAAGAAGCTATTTTGTTCACTATATATTTTTAATTAATCGGTCGATTAATCGGTTATCAGAATTTTTTTTTGCCAAATACCAGAATCGGCATCGGCCTCAAAAAAACCATATCAGTTGGGTCCTAGTATTTATAATTCATTAGGACTAAAAAGGCCAGCAGACAGAGGTCACTCAGTGCTCTGCGGCTGAGTTAGTTAGTTCATCTTTCTGCCGCGACCAATCAGTTGGTTAAAGGATAGGTATAATTCCAGTCAACAAAGTTTTTACTCTGCTTCACTACAGTCCTAGTTTTCACACTCACACGTTCCCTTTGGACTCACAAAAGGCTTTAAATCTTTTTTCTTCCACATACAGCGCCTACAGCAGGTATTCACCTCCCTGGGTGGGCTGTCCACTCAACATCCCATGTAGCCTGACTGAGCTTGAGCAGTTGTGCAAAAAAGAAGAAGAAAAAACTGCAGCGTCCAGATGTTCAGGCTGACTGAGACTTTCCCACACAGGTTCAATGCTCCAACTGCAGCCAAAGTTACATTTACCAAATACTAAATTGCAGGGAGTCAACACTTCACTTACTTTATGTTTTTAATTAATTGACATTACATCATAGGAATCTGTTTCCACTCTGACATTAAAGAGACTTATTTTAGAAATTCTTGTCAAAAAATATAATTGACCATGACTGAATGATGAAAAGCAGTAAAAGTTCCAACCCTTTTTAGACACTTATATGCAGAGATGCTGCCTAACATCTGTGAATTGATGTGTAAAATCTTCTACAAGAACTGACTGGTCAACTTTGAGATTGTTTATTATGAAGGCAACATTAAACAAGCTGTAAAAGCTCCGTTTGTTTACCCTTTTCAAGAACTCCACACACATTCTGAGCAAAGTAATTTCCATTGCAAATGTTTGTCTACACCACCATCATCCCTCAATGCCAGACGCTGAATGCAATAAAATAAACGCCTAATCTGTATAATAAATACACAACATGGCTCAATAATGTACGATATGTTCAGCTAGTGCTGCTATGAAGGCACAATCCAGCGCTGAATTATAAGTCGTGTGTCTAAATATTTACTGGATACAAACTTATTGCTATGTGATATATTTCTGTAACATTTCTGCAGTTTTCATCTTTGCTACTGAATCAGAAAAATCACAGTGAAATCAGGACTGAATCGCTTGCATTACCTGTATCATAGCAGGAAAAAATCCAGTCTTAACCAGACCCAACAAGGGATTAATGACCTCGAGCACGGCCATCATCTGACAGAAATACATCATATCAGCCGTGGTGTGGAAGGTGTCGTAGAACGAGTCTGTGGAGGGAGACACAGAGGAACAAACAGACATGATTAGGCAGCGCACTGCATGAGCCACTATCCATAACCATCATCATTTGCAAAACAAATCCCTGCTGTGTAGTTGTGCTCCTGTTTCTATTCAAATGAGCTCATCTGTGAATAGCTGCTCACAAACAAAAACACGGACCTCACTCAGTGTGTTTTCTGGACCTCCTGTTTGTTGTATTTCACTGCACATTGCTGCTAATTGTGTTTGGCTCTTTTCAGCTTTTGTGTTCCATAAACATCCACTAAAAAAAAAAAAAAGCTGTTGTCCAGCGCTTTATTATTTTGTCCAGAAAATAAAAAAGCTATTAAGGAGCAGAATTGTTTCAGTTTTAATTCCTGTTCTTATCTATATTTAGCCTGAACCTCTACGGTCTGCCAGTTCTGCTTTTACTCAACTGTGTGGCTCTTTGTTTCCACTTTTATCTGGGTTTGTGTGATGTGCTGAATAAAGCACAAGAACAATGAAACTGACAACAGGTTGACTAAATATAAAATGTGATGAATGCTGATCTCATGCAGGTTTTATTTCTCTGCAATGACACTGTGATAGCACAGATAAATTACTAGAAAATGCTGCCTAGCAGGTATGAAATCAAACCTTTACGACACATTTCTGAAAGTATTATACAATCATTTATAATTTTAAGTGTACATAATTTCTATTTAAGACTAAAACACAAAAAAACACAGTTACAGAGACATCAAGAAAAATGATATGAGCAGCCAGATGATCCTACAGACTGTAAACAAACCCAATTTTCTGTTTTAAACATCAGTAAACATCAGAGTTTACAGACACACTTCCTGTTTCATCTTTGATCTCCTGTATGTAGCGCAGTTGTGTACACATTTGTTTACAGTGGAGTGGGGAACTATTAGTGACATTTCAGGTATGCAAACTTTATGCTTTACTTCCAAATAAAGTGGCTAAAATAATCCGTAAACTGCTGGTTTACTGTTTACAGATTATTTCTGACTGTCATGTTTCCTGTCCTTTTGGAGCTGCAGCGATGTTGCTGTGCTCCCAGAACTGAGAAATTAACTTTATAAAAAACAATGAAAATAAAACTGCAGCTGCATATATCAGAATTATCCTTTAAAGCATTTCAAGCAAACATATTTCTTTTCTTTCTACACATGCATCACATACAAAAACATCCATCAAATCTCCGTAGTTTGTACAGAAAGAGAAACTAAATGATGCTATGCAGCCAAAAGCCAGCGTTACAAGGTGTTGGCTGAACCATCTGTTGGAACTTCTGGTACATTTAATACCAAAGTAATGCCAGCAGGAAAATGCTAAAGACAAATATTAACGATACTGCATATTCAGAGCAACAGTATAACTGTTCCTCTAAACAACCCTCGACTTGACGTGACGTCTGTGATTACACAGCCTGTAATAATCGTTTTTTCTTTTGCTTGGTGAGTAAAAACTAATCACAGGAAAGCTGTGGAAAATCCCCCGACCACAAACTTTATTTCAGAAATTGAGAGCTTTTTTTCTTTTTTGCACAAACCTTGACCAAGAATGAAGAGTCGAACCGTCATGTTGACAAAGATCCAGGAGAATCCCAGGAACTGCACCAGGTTGTACATAAACAAGTAGCCTTTCTTCAGCCCGAGGTAGGCTGAGGAAACAGAGGGAAAGGACTGAAATCAAGTAATGCTAATGAAATACTTCCAGGTCCTGTCTACAGCAAGATAAGTAATGAAGCAGCAATAACAAACATTTGAGGTTTTCATTGTTTGCAGGAGAACAGCTGAGTGCGACTCACGGTCTTTACGAATTCTTGACTCCACACTAATCTTGTTTATCTTCTCCTCCTCCTGAAAGAACAACACAGGAATCATGATCCCAGAGTAGCTAACCGAATAACTGGTTTTACTTGGTGTGTTAAAGTAATGAATCTGTTACAATCTGCATGAAATATGTGTATACTAACAGTCACGGTTTTGTATTTGATTATTACCTTGAAATAAAAATCTGCAAAAAAAACAACTGAGTCTTATTGTCACAAGACTAACCAATCAAACCTGTACAGAACAGAATAGATTTCTTTTTGCATTTTTTTCTTTATCTATATAGAAGGAGCAGAGAAAGAAATGAAATGCAGGAGGACAGAGGGAGGTACGACATGCAACAAAGGTTGCATCGAGTTAAGGAGCTGAACTGTGAATGTTGCAAACATCCTACGGAGCTCATAACATGACCTCCTAATTCTCAGACACGTCAGTTTTATTGACAGACATATTTTGTTGGATAATTTGGGAAAACTTTACCAGCAAGTCTAGTGTTTTCATTTAGTCTGTTTCTACAGTTTTAACACCCAATAAAAGATGATATCTGTCAGGCCACTTGTTTAAAATAACACCAGAGTGATGCGCTGGCTGTGCAGGGTCGACCACAGAAACACAAACAACTGTCTTAACAGAAACTACACTTGTCTCACAAAGCCTGTTAGCAAAAACAAAGACTATTTTTTGTAGACATTTGCCTTCCTAACAGACTTGAACGAGCCTTTTCCATGGTATAAAACATCTTAATGTCTCTTTGCAGTGGCTGGAAATGCTCAAGGTCTCACCTTCGCCTGAAGCTCCATCTCAGCGTCCGACTCGTCCAGCCAGCGGTCGAAGTCCGGAGCCAGGAACAGAGGCTTCTTCTCCTGCAGCGTCAGCCGGTCCCACCAGCGCTCCTCCTGCTTCATGACTTTGATGTCCACCTGCCGCTGGGTGGACTTATGGTTAATCTGAAGTCATTAAAAAAAAAAAGAAACACACAAAGTTTCTAAACACACAAAATGCAATGAAATGATGCGAGCAGTTGTCGTGTATTTCTCTCAAGAGACACGACACTCTGCCTCGTACTGTAACCGCAGGCTGTTAGCTGCTGAATATCAATGATTTTGAAGGGTTGAAGGTCATTCTGAACATCAGCAGCCATCACAGTCTGCCGAGCTTAAAACATAGCAAACCTCTTTGTCTCAGGAATAATTTAAAATGGAGTAACGTGACTGAACATTTCGGGCCGTGATGAATCAGATAATCCATCCCCACTTCAGCGATGGAGGCGTTTTTCAATCAGCTTCATCCTGACATGATTACAGCGATTTCTGGCTGGTGCGCTCGTTCAATCAGCACCATGACGCATTATCATCATTACATGTCATGTATTCCATTCATGATAAAACTGTGGATTTTTCCTCTGAACAGCAACAGAAAAGCATCTGATATGTGCAAAAAGCTTAAGCTTGTACTGGGACAATATGTTAATAAAAAAGATATAATCTGGTAGGTCGATAATGCAGTTTAGTTAAATGCTGTTCTTTTGTTTTACATGTATTTTCAGCTGTCCCTCAGTAATGATGCACGTTGTGTGCTGACCACACATCCATCTGCAATTATTCCATCATACAAGTGACATCACTGAGCTTTTAACACAGTAAGAGATAATTGGAAGTATAACTGCAAGCACATTGAAGAGTTAATATCAGACAGCTAAAAAATAAACATGATCAAAATTTGTGTTTCTGAACTTTAGTCTTTAATTTATTGTTGTTATAATTGTTTAATAACAATGTAAATACAATCACAAAGAGGGAGAAAAGAGCAACCATAAATGTAATAATAAAGGATCATTACCTCTGGTCTAACGGGTTCCAGGAACTCCAGACTGAACTCATATTCATTATCTCCTTTAGCTCCATGGCCCTGTGCTGTGAAACAACATTACTGTTTGTTATTACAACAAGAGACTTCATATTGGGACTTTTTTTTTTTTTCCTTGCACAAATTTTCGTACCAACCTCTGAACTGAAGTGTGTTGTTTTCTTGCAGGCTGATATTGAGATTCTGGAAAACACAAAGGCAGCTGTCACAACTCAGAAATGACACAAAATGGACAAAATGATGAGGAGGAAATTAAAGAATAACTCATTAAGATTATATAACTTTGCTTTAAAACCCCCATTAAATGACCAAATGTGTTGTACAGGTTACAGCTTTCTCTGGCTGGTGCACTCAACCCCGCCGGCTCTGAGTGAAGATGTAAAGCTTTAAAATCAGAATACAAGCCCGCACCAACATTAATAACCAACATGATAAAAAAGAGAATACAAGCAGCAATTTACATTTTTAACCAATTTTGTTAATCCTCTAAAACCCAAATGCCATGTACCTTAAAATAAATACAAATAGAAAATAAATAAATCACCATTTATCAAAGTCTAAAGGTGTAAAAACGGATAGAATTGTCAGATTTTCAGCTTTCCAATGGTCCTTAAACTACTCGTCTGGGATGTGCTGTTCAGTTAGAAAACAACCAAATCTTCTTCTTTTTTTCTTCATGTCTCATTTAAAGATTCACCAAAAATACACCAAAAAAAAACAAAAAACAATTTCTTTGACATGACCAGAAGAAAATATCCAAACACTGTTTAGGCTTCATGGGTCAATGGAGTTCCAGTTACTGAAGCAGAAGAGTCACTTCTTTTATCTCATGGACAATACAGTGATTTCTGTCCAAAAAGTTAACACAGACCTGATCATGCTTTTTGTTATGTTTATGGAAAACAAAGGAGCTCGAAGGCACAAAAAATAAGAAATATTAGGCTCTGACTACCCAGCAGGATCAGTTCATTGGCGGCGATGGTGAGATGTGTTTAAGAATAAGAAAAATCTTGAACATCCCTTGACTTCTCCTTACACCTAATTAGGCATAACCCAGTCTAATACAACAGCATCGTGGTATCAATGAACTGTCTCTCATCATATTGAGAGGAGGTTCGTCCTGAATGAGCCTGATGTGTTTAACGTGACAGCTGTTCTTCTCTCGGCCTGTTTCAGGTACCATGCATCCCAAGAGGCTAAACAGGATCCAGAACTACCATTAAACATCATGCATCTTTTATAAGACATTTGTCCGACAGATGCAGGACGAAGAAGTCTGAACCTGCAAATGCTGAGGAGGAGAACAACCTGTATTTCATGTCAGCAGTGCAAACAGTCGGATAACAGAACGACAGGCAGGAAGTGAGCGGCAGGATTAGTGATGAGCTTGAGACGAAACACAGATTAAAGTCAAATTCTTAATGCTGGTTTTGATTAGCTGACACAAACTATTAAAACGTCCTGACTGCTTTCTTCTAAGCACTGATTAAGCATTTGTTTAAGTGGGGTGGAGGGATCAGGAGGTAGAGGGTCACTAATCACAGGATCTGCGGGTGCAAAGGTCCAACTGCCAACTAAACCCTGCGGTAAATCCTGTAGTAACCACGCTCATAGATGGTCGGCCTCAGAGAAAACTAAACGTGGACAAGCAGCATTCAGTTCCTAAAAACTTCAGGTCTGACTCCGTCTCTCTGTTCTTTTAAAGCATGGTTTTAAACCTTTTCCATTTGGCATTTTATTTAAAGTAAATCTTGGATTTTTCCTGGCTCATACTACACTGTAGCTACACTGTAATTTGTATTCTACTGGTAATTTCCTATCTGTAGTTCAGCTTTTTTTAATCTTATATTTTGCTTATTTTAATCCCTTTAAATCCTTTTTATGTGCGTCCATTTGCCACTGCCTTGAATTACTGTTATGTGATCGTTATGTAAGAAAGACTTATAGGAATAAAATAGCAACAGACAGTAATTACAAATCATCAAATAGCCCTAATTGTTGTGTTGTGTAGAAATGTATAATCGGGGTTGACAACTGTAGAGCGAGCAGCGACAAGACAAGGAAGTCACACCAAAGCCGTCATTTTCAGCTGTTATTCTCGAGTCGTTCAGAAGTCGTTGTTGCAGCTACCATTTTTAGAAAACTAATTCCTTTTCAACATTTTAAAAGAAATATTTTCCTCTGTATTTGATGTAGAATTAGTGGCTTCAGAGCTGTAATCTTAGTCAATTGATTAATTACTCAATTGGCATAAAATACTCGCAAATATTTTTATAATCAAAAAATAGTTTGAGTGATTATGTGAGAAAGAAAATGCAACTCAAATGTTAAGATTTGCCATTTCTATTCTCATATATGATAGTGAAGTAAATCATGTTTGTGACGTGTCTGAAATCAAAAGAAGTCACTCTGGTGTTTGTTCTATTTATTCTCTCTTTTTTTATGAGTCCGTGTCCTGACTGTGCACCTTAGTTTTGTTGTACATGCGTGTATAATGATAATAACGTATCTTGAATCTTAGTAAGTGGAAAATTGTAGTTGGCATTTAAAAAAAATATTTTCTGACCATTTATAGACAAAACGAATAGGAAGTCCGATTAAAGCTGTCATTTTCATCTGTTAATAGTTGTTCAAAAGTCATTTATTGATGTGTTAAACACAAAAAACTCTTTTACAACAGCTTTCACAGGAAGTTTTACGCATTCTTCTGAATTTGATGTTCATCTGTGTGTTTGATCAAACCACAGTGATTATATGAGAAAAAAAATGAAATCCAGATGTTAAGACTTGCTGTTGTCTTTGTTATATATGATAGTAAAGTGAATGATGTGTCTGATCAATATGACATTAAAATAAGTCACTTTGGGAAAATTACACCAGACATGTTTTTTTATTCTATTTTCTGATTTTGTATAGGCATAGTGAATAGCTGATTAATAGAATAAGAATAATCTAAAAAATTGGCGCTCTTGTTTGTTGAAGTGTAGAAACTAATGTTTGACAGCTGCAGAGAGAGCAGCTACAAATACAGGAAATCACACTAAAGGTGTCATTTTCTGCTGTTTTTCTCGAGTAATTCAGGAAACACTGCTGCAGTTTGCATTTCATATATTACGCTTTTACGACAAAGTTATTAGCATTTAAAAAAAAAAAAAACGTTCGTGTTTAGTTAAATGACCTCGACGCCAAACAATAAACGGCTAACAATACCAACAAAATTGTGTCACTTAGGCTCTATAAACCCCTAAAACACACACTTTTCTCAACACAGGGCAAGAGTATATAACATATTTGATGTATTTTCTTCATTTTGGGCCCCACAAACAACCGTTACAGGTCATTTTATCCATCTTACAAGTGTAACTAGCCGCAGCATCACTGAGCTAACCGACTGGGCTAACAGTTAAGCTAACTGCTATTAGCCGCGGAGAAAACGACAGCTAGCTAACGTTACACCTTTAACATCAGCAAAATTAAGTTTATGTGTGTTTTAAGGGATTATGTGAGCGGCGGTTAAATGAAAACTCAGTGCAAGTTGAGGCTGAAGGCAGCCAGCTGGATGTGGAGGTCTGTCCTACCTTGGCGTCGCTCAGTTCCACCCGGAGGTAGATCTCTCCGTGCCGCTGCGCCCAGTAGACGTGAGGAGTCAGGATCTGCATGTTCGCTCCGGAGCTTCTCTCGTCTACATGTCACGAAATGTGGGAAATGCTACTGAAACTGATGAGTCCTCATCTGACAGCCCCGACAGCCTCCACACGAACACACGGAGGACAGTTGATGGAGCACACGACCAGGAGGAGGAGGAGGAGGGCTTCCACGGGCTTCAAAATAAGAGCCTTCAAAATAAAAGTCTCCAAACTGATAACAGCTGTTCCTCCTTCCTTCATGGATGAATTCAACTTTAACATGTAGAAGAAATCCCCCAATATTCTACCCAGGAGCAAATTATTCAGAATGGAAACAAAAAGCCCATGCTCTGTGTAGTTGGGTGTCTTTTTGTTTCATTTGACATGTATTTGTAGTACTTTTGCATTTGTAGTCATTTGAAGGTGTTCCAGGTGTTTTTGAGCCACTTTAGAGCACATTTTTTTTTATAATTTACTCAAATACTTACATTATATAGGGTATTAACCTTAATTTTTAAATCACTGGTGTATAATTGCATAATTGATCAAATATTACAAGCTCTTAACCTTGACATTTAAAGGTAAACTTGCATGATTAATAATTTTGTTACATCTAAATCTTAATATTTAATTTACTCGGGGAGATTAGTATTTTAAAAAATATTGTGGAGTTTAAGATTAATATTTCAAATGGTCAAGTACCTGTCTCATGATTACCATATTAATTATTTTTGCTTTTATTTATTCATATTGTTACAAAGCATTGTGAATTATATCTTGTATCTGTAGTTTTTTTTTTATTTTATCTTTATTTTAATTGTTATGTTGGGCATCCTGTCTTTATCGAACTCACTTTTACTAAATGCTTTTTCTTAAACTGCTGCTTTTATTTATACGATTTTACTGTGTTCTCCTGGAATCTTACTGATTTTTAAATTTCTACTCTATTCTTTTTTTTTTCTTACTGTAAACCACTTTTGTAAACCTTTTGTTGTTGTTTTAAAAGGTGCTATGTCGATACATTTCTTCTTTTTCTCCTTCTTAACATCATTATTCTTTAAAAACCGATACAAATATTTGTCATTTTGTCATTTTTTGTCATTAGCTAATACTACATTTAAAAAGAATGTATATTAAATATCAATATGACAATACATCTGCCTTAAAGTCTCTTTCAAACCCTGTCTCTGTCAGAATGAAATGAAAAATACTTTATTTATCCCAGAAGGGAAATTGAATTTTAGGGAAATTCAATTGTAAATTCAAATTCAATGCATAATCTGAACACATTTTTGTAGAAAGATTTACAATTGAATCAAGAAAACATGAAGGAAAACTGAGAGACAGTTGGTACTGTGAGACTGGGTTACATCAGCTGTGGAAATGAACACTGGAGGGACGTAATTAGCTCAAGTTGTCTCCAGTTTCACCTGTTTTTCTCCTCTTCGTTCTAACCCTCCTCCTCCACGTTCACACAGCAAATACAAACAATTTCTGTCAGGAACGAATCCCCAAAACCCAAACTGTTCTTTCAAACTAAACTAAAGTCTTTTGTGAACAGGAACAAGATAATATTTATGTACAAGTTTCATTTGTTTAAATATAGATTTCTTGATGATACAATAACTTTTCATAGTTAAAGATATAAACACACATTATACAACTTTCCCTAAAGAACATGTACTTCCAAGTCTTAATATCCAGCAGCACATTTCTGTTTCATCCTAGATTCTGCCACAAGAGGGCATTAAAATACTTCAGCACTAGCATATGACAAGATGCATTTTTTGTAGGTAATCATGATGAAAAGGAGCTTTAGTAAAAAGCAGCTGCACTTCTCTCTTAGGTTCTAGAAGATGTTTCATCCAGGAGGCTTCTTCAGTTCTAACTGACAGATGAGGAGTTTTTCAGTCAGTTTGAAGGAGAAGACACCTCTTAGACAATCAATAATACAATATTAGGAATCATCAGCTCTTGTTTTCAGACGTTTAAACACCTTAACTGACTATTATACTAATAAACTACACACTTGCATGCATTGAACTTGATGCAGTTCCTTGTCTTGTACTGTGAGCAGTGACGAAGCTGAATTTAATCTAATCTAATCTGAATGCAGTTATTTACCCAGCGCCACAGACATTAAATATGTGCTCAAGTGCACTGCACTGTGACATTGAGCCGTAACAAAATCATTTGCTTTGTTTTATTATAATAATACCATTATTTATAGAGTGCTTTTAAAAGCAAGGGTTGACAAAGTGCTTTGACAGACATCATTAGAGCAGGACACCCAGGAGGCAACGAAACTATAACTTGGATTTAGTTAAAACAAAAAGGCTGCAGACACAAAAATGCAAAACACAATAAGTCTGTAATGTTAAATACCAGTAAATTAATTAAAGCAAGTTAAACTGCTGTTATTTACAGGATGGAGAACATGTAAAATAACACATGTTGAACGTATGAGGTGCTTTCTAACAGAGAAACAAGATGCCTGACAAATTTCATATTCTTTTTATGTAATATTAATGTTAAGACCCTACAGTAGCCTTTATTTTGTAACTTTATCCGAGTAATTTAACTATTAGAGTAAACAGTTTTTTTTAAAGTGCAAAAAATGGGTCAAAACACCTAAAACAATTAAATACCTACATTCAAAACACTAATATAAAACACTAATAACCTGACTAATGTAAATATTAAGACTAAAACCTTATCATATTATATCAAATACAGATATACCAGACTAAATAAAATATGGAGAGAGAGACAGAGAGAGAGAGATCCTACTACAAGAGAAATAATTATGTAAATGTACTTGAATGTCTAGATCTTACAAAATTACTTAAAATTTAAATTTACCTGACTAAATAAAATCAGCTAAGCTCAATAAAACGCTTTCACCCATGACCATAATAATTTAAGAGGAGTAATAGGCAGAAACTTGTAAGAAAACGAAAAAGTACGATTTTAATCAGAGCCCTTGAACGCACCACCGTACCAAACTTCCACATTCTCGGTGGATTTTAACCTGAGAGGCGTTCACGGTCTCTCGGCTCGTTGTCAAGTTTTTCTCCGGCAGGAGGTAAAATCAGCTGTTCCGGTGGACAATGTATAATCAGAAACGTCAGGATATTCTATTCTGGATGATATTTTTCGGAACTCGCCTCCGTCTCCGTCGGTAACGCCTCCCTATTAGCCTGTTTCAAAGTACAAGCGGCTGTTAGCTAACAGCTCAGGTGAGAGTTCACCGGGTCGAAGGACGTTTTACCGGCTGGACGACATCTCATTTCGGTCACTCCTGGACCTCCGCACGCTTGTGTGCTTTCTGTTTTTTCGGGGACACACCACATTCACTGTCGAGGTGTTTTAAACAAGATTCAGAAAATGAGTCGAGGAGGTGAAACCAGCGAGAAAACGTCCGCAGCTTCGGCTAACGTCGAATTAGATCTCCGACAGAGGACCAAAGTCATTTATGTCACGTATTTCATCGCCGCTTTCGACGTCACATGGATGTTTTTGCAGTTTACTGTAACCCCGGTGAGTATTTCTTGTTCCAGAGCATGGAAGCGAAATTTCCGTGAGTGGCGTGAAGGCCTCATGGTGGAAATGCATTTATTTATCTAAAAGCTGCAGCTCAGATAAAAGTCATCGTTTGATTCACTTCAGCTGATTGTAGCTTCAAGATAATGTGTGTCTGTAGACCCTTAACAGGTGAGAACCTAAAAACAAAAGCAGAGAGTACAGAGTACAATACACAAATACACAGAAAAGAACACACAATACAAAACTGCGCTGTAAAGCTCATGAGAAATGTGTAATCACTGGTGTTTTCTGTGATCACAGCTGGTCTGTAGCTCTTATTATGCTGTGAGTGGTGCATTCATTTACATCCTTCACTGTGAGCAGCAGTACAACAAGTCATCATGTCCTTAAATGCTGCAGAGTAACAAAATAAAAAAGAATCTTCAGTTTAAAGGTTAAATCCTGCATTAAAAATGTAATCAAAGGAAGTGGTGGAATGTAGTTGAGTACATTTACTTGAGTAAAATTTTGAGGTACTTGAATGTGTAAGTTTTGTGTCGCTGCGTATTTTAAAAACCTACACAACAGTAGGGCTTCATCTGATTGCTATTGCCAAATACTCTGCCAAATATTTTCACGGTTTCTCGATTAGTTTTTATATAAAAAGTAAGAAAATGGTGGGGAAAAAAATGTGTGTTTCCCAAAGCCAACGATGATAAATGTCTTGTTTTGTCCAGTTTACTTTCATGCAGGTGGAGAGAAACCAGAAAAAGTTTGAATTTAAGAATCACAGAATTTTGCCTTTATCCGAACAAATTACCCAACCAGACTTATCAGATAGTTTTAGCAAATAATTGAATAATTGATAACTAATTGATCATTTGTTGCAATTTGCATAAAATCAAATCATCAGCTTAGAAAATGTGATTGTGGATGTTTCCGAAAAACATAGCAAGTAGTTAAAAATGACTTTAATCGCAACAAGGATCAACATTTTAAAGCTTTCTAGGAACGTGATCGATCTGATAATACTAATAATAGTAATAATTCTTCAACTCTGACCTCCAAGTTCATGTGAAACTCAGTCATTCATTCAACAAAGAAGTGCAGCAGGAGATTCATTTCTGCTACTAACTCTATAAACCAACGCCTTCCTCAAATATGACTGATCCTGTCATTCATTAAAGGCAAACACGCTTGAATCAACTCCTGAGCACACGCAAGCTGTAAACGCAGGAATCTTCTCAGCTAGCATCTTGATTCCCATGTGGCGTGACAGGAACGTAGCGTCAAGTTGAGAGAAGAATTACCGGATTTTCAACTTTTCCATAGTTAATCAACTGTAATTTGTTCTGTTGGGAAAATGAACCAAATTTGAGCTTAAAATTCTGGTATTTCATTAAACTTACTTTGTTTTGCTTGTCTCATTTCTAAAAGATAGTTAAAAAAAAAACAGTTTGCACCAGATAATGTAAAAAAAACAAACCAAAAATCCATTTTCTTTGACGCAAATGAGAATCCATTCGTGACTTAGCTGTGACCAACCGTCCCATGACAAATATTCAGAGGGTTTTTGAATGAACTGTACGCGGTTTACTCAGAACACATAGGAGACAAATTAAAAATGTAAATAGTGAAATATCTACAGTATGTGGAGCCGTCGTTTTCCACCCAGTGTCAGTAACGCCTGTTGTACTTGTTGAGTCCAAGTTTTTTTTCCACTTTGTTCGTAAAAGAAATTTAACATTAGTTCATTTTTTTCATGAAGATTTTCGTTCTCTCTACTTCTAGTCATGGTTGTGCTGTTTCCATAGAGGTGCTGGATTTTATATTGTGGTGAAAAATGAGCCAAGAGAGGAGAAAAATGTGGCAGGAGCAAAATTAAACTGCCCAGAAACTAAACAAGGAGTTCAGAAGGTTAAAAGAAATTCCATCAGTTAACTTCTGACATCTGTTAACTGAAAACTATTCCAGTTAGCAAACCTCCTGAAGCTGGTCGATGTGTTACTTTGAGTGTGCGAAGCGGTCATCAGTGGAAGGACTTGTAAAATGTCAAACTGACTTTGTTTTTTCTTTTTTTTTGCATGAGTCAAAATGTTGTTTAGTTGTTTCGGTGACGTCAGGTTTGTTCTACGCTGTAAAAACAAGTGAGAAATATCAGAATCAGAATTAAACGCAATGCCACTCAGTGCAAAGAAGCAGTTCTGAACTAAAGGATACAAATCAAGAGGTTTATAAAATAGAGATGTATAAGAAATAAAGTGACTAAAAAAATAAATGTAAACACACGACAATGTACAATTAGCAGCAACACATTTAAAACAAATAGGTCTGCTGTTCATTGTTCATTTAGTATAGCAATTTATTATCATTCTTTAATTATTGCAAACAGGTAGAACCCCTGAATGTGACCGGTTTTGTACATGATTATGTTTATTTTAATGTGTTCATTCTGCCTCTCTGCAGTATTTGGCAAAGAAACTGGGCTTCGACACCTTGTGGTTTGGCTATTTGCAAACTACAGTCGGTATGATTCAGCTGTTCGGGGGTCCTGTGTTCGGAAGGTAACACAGAAAAGCTTCATTTTGCTTAAATGTCTGCCGACGGTGGCGACCTTCACCGATGTCATCTGGCGGAAGGATGTGACCGCAGGGCTTTGTTTTGTCGGCAGGTTTGGAGATCTGTTCGGAGCTCGGATAGCTTTGTCTCTGTCCTGCTCAGCGACCGTCGTCTTCTTCCTGCTGCTGGCCATAGCGGACCATCCTGCCATGCTGTTCATCCACAAGCTGCCCACAGTCTTCATGCATGTCCTACCTGGTGAGTGTCGCTCAGCTCAAACCTCAAACCTAGATTAATGCTCGCCCACAAAGTTCACGTAAATCAGCCTCCTTCATCTAAATATGTTGTAGACTCACAGCATTTACAAATCAACATTACCTGACCTGCCCTCCCTTCCCCTGCTGTGACCTCATCACTTGGATCAACCACTTTTTCCTAATTATTATCTATTTTCGCAGTCGAAGCAGATGCATTTTTACCTGTTTGTATTTCCTCCCGTCTGCAGCCGCTCAGATGGTGGTTACCGACCTTTCAGAACCTGACAAACGGGCCGATGCTTTAGCCAAAATGGGTCTGTGTTTTGGCGTCGGGATGATAGCCGGCTCCACGCTGGGTGGGCAGCTAGTCAAACACTACGGGTGAGTTTCACCATGTGTGGGATTGTGTGAAGCCAAACAGAGCACCTTGGAGCTCTACGGATAAAGGATAGGTCGGGGAAGTTTTCTGCGTCCCCATTATCAGGCTCCATCCATCCTCTTAAACCACTTAGACCAATCAGGGCAGGGTAAGGTAAAAAAATACAATAAATTTCCACCCAATCAAAATTAAGAGAGCCCTACAAGAATGAGTACTGATGCTGGCGAGTCTGATGCAAAATTGTGACTAACTTTAATACAGATATCAAGCACAACAATGCTTTGTATCATAGAGAGTCATAGTTTAATACCAGATGTTCCTGGTGCAGGTTAAAAGAGTTCGAAGTTTTGAGCCTTTTCTGGACTTGCAGAGGCACAGTTAGTATTTCTTTGTCAGTTTTTTCTTTCCATCTTTGCTGTTTGGGTTGTAACAGTACATAATCTAAATGCGGGTACGTACCTCAGTTTCAAGTATGTGGTTTGGTATGTTTTTGGTGCAGCGAAAACAAGAAAAACTCCACCTTTTTTCACTAATTTTAATCAAACACTGGTCGACTGTGCAGACTGTGGTTGTGTATTTCTTAAAAACGTCTGTCAATACTATGCATTGTTATGCTTTTTAAAAAAATAAAAAGTAATAAAATAAATATCTGTAGGGTTTTGAATTGAGTCCAACACACACAGAAGTTCTACACATGCAGTGACGGTGTTCATTTTGCATGTCCGCCAAACCGAAAGGCCCATATAGAAAATGTATGGCATTAATGCGTGACAAACCTGACTGCTGCAATCAATAGGAAGCTAACACGTAAATGTCTCTGAATGAACTAAATAAATACAGCTGTACCACACTTTGTACGTTACTGTAACTTAAATGTCAGCAGATTAAAGGTCATGTTGCAATAAAACTGATTAAACGTCGATGATCCAAATCCCCTAGAAACCCACAGAACATTAAGTTCCCAGCAGCAAACGGCACACAGACACAGTTAGCAACTAGTTTGGAAAGAAAGTAGAATATTAAGCTGCTAGAGAAAGAGAGACATGTTCCTATTGGGCCAAAACAGCTAAAAGAAAAATATAAAATACATATTTATCTCCAACTTATTGATAATGTTGCTGCAAGTCTGCTGGTTTTGTAAGTAAGCAGCTGTTTGCTCACATGTTTGCCAAAACTACTTCCTAATAAAGTATCAGCGCACTTTTGGAAATAAATGTTTACATGTACTTTTTCCCTCACAGCGTATACTTCCATATAACAACCTTATGCAAAATTGCATTTGAATTTTACGCACAGAGCAGCGTCCCACTGTTGTTTGAGAAGAAAAATAGCCAAGTTTAAAACGAAATCACACAAAAGAAAGTTTACTTTGCTGAAAGTCTTCATGAGGATGATGTTCATCTCAACTTTTAAGACTTTTCAAGACTTTCAAAAACATTTCATGGTCAGAATTAAAGTAAAAATCCAATTTAAAACCACATTCCCTGCATTAAATGATAAGTCAGTGTTTCTGCTTCCCCTGTGTAGACAAAACATACTTCTGACTGTAACTAAACACAGAAGTACGATAAAAATGATGCTGACAGATGTGTGAGTTCTCTAAAATGTTCTGCTAACACTGCCTTTGCTTCGTGTTTCCCAGGGAGACGTTCACTGCGTGTTTCGGTGCTGCAGGAAGCGCCTTCAGTTTGCTGCTGGTTTTAAAGTTCATCCCTAAAAGTACGAAAGTTGAATCTGCCACGAGCAGCACTAAAGGTAAGACACGCTTTTTATCATTAAAATGAAGGAAAGTTATCTTTAATGTGCTGCAGCTGAGCAGCTAAATAGCAACTAGCCTGCAAACTGGTGTTAGTGTTGCACGTTTCCCCCGAATGGAGCTAAATTATAGGACAAGACGACCAATGGCTCATTCTTAAAAACAAAAAAATCATCAAATATAAATTTCTTTCTTTGATTTTTTTTCTACAAGACGACCAATGGCTCATTCTTAAAAACAAAAAAATCATCAAATATAAATTTCTTTCTTTGATTTTTTTTCTCAAAGGAGAGCACAGGATGTAATTTACAGCTGTAGCAGATAAAAACATGCAGTTAGAGTTTAACTGGTGACCAGTAAGTGCAGCTGTTGTCGCTGTCTTGGTGAATACCGAACTATTCTGACTTCATTTATGGTTAAAAGATGCTCTTCTCTGTCACGTTACATGCAAAACCAGACCAGAAAGAACTGTTGTCTCCCATTCTGTGTTCCCATTTCATTGTTAAATGCTACTGAAGACAGAAACACGGGACTCTCCTGGATGATTATTTATGGCCATCGTATTTGAATATTTCATTTGTGTTTCTGAGAAATTAATCAATTTGTCTTTTCTTTTTTTTTTGTTAGTTTTTTGGCCTTTGTGCCTTTATTGGATAGTGTTAGTGAGAGAGCGACAGGAAAGTAGGGGAGAAGAATGGGGGGAGGACATGTGGGAAAGGGTCATGAGCGGGATTCGAACTCATGACCTCCACATTGGGACTGTAGCCCTGCACATGAGGGGCCAGCTCAACCAGGGAGCTATAGCGGCGCCCCGTTAATTTGTCTCTTGGTACGGCAGATGGGTCTAAAAATCATCTTCAGAAAAATGAGGGGGAACTTTTTGCTTGTTTCGTGTCCTCACACTTTTTAAACTCTACAATCTACAGATGGACAGTAAAGTGTGAAGTCATGTTCTGTGTGAAATATACTGAGATACGTTTAAGGTTTTAGCAGCAAATGTTGCTCAAAACATCAAACATGTCAGTTTTATTTATGTGCACACGAGAACTGAAAGCATTCTGTGTGGTTGAATCCCAGTTTTAGACTGAATGAAGTTCTTCCACTCTGTTGGAATGTTATGTTCAGTCGTATGATGCTCTTTCAGAAGGAAACCATGGTGATGACAGAAGTCAAGTGTAAGTTCAGCCCAGTGTTGGTGTAGAAGCCAACAAATAAAGATGGACTGCCTTAAAGATTTGACATCTGCAGCCGATGACAATCAGCAGCCTAAGAGCCGGCCCCTGTCATCTTATCATCGCCACGTCATAGCTTCAATCCTTCCTGATGTGGAGCTGCAGTACAGCCGCATGCAAACCAAAAACAAAACCCTGGAGCAGGAGAATGAAGCCCTCAAGAAGAGACTGGAGGTCCTGGTGACTGATGGTGAACACCTAAAGGCGGAGCAGCAACGACTCAGCGGCGTGGGCAGAAACAGAGACCACCTGAGGAGCCAGCTGGTGCAAAGCAGACACGAAGTGCTGGTGTTGGGGAAGAAGATCAGGATCCAGACGACAGAGCTGAGGAGGGAGCACCAGCAGAACGAGTTCCTAAAGCGAGAGCTGGAGTCGATGAAGAAGGAGCTGCAGTTGGTGAGGCAGCAGGTTGTGGACCAGAGAGCTGAGCAGCAAAACCTGAAGGAGCAACTGGAGCAGGTGGTGAAAGAGAGAGACAGTTTGAATGAGAGGTGGCTGCGCTGTCGACACGAACGCTCAGAGCTGAGTGACAGAATCACCGTCCAGCAGTCAAACAAGAGCAAGAAGGATGTTCAGCTTATGGAGCGGATGAGGCAAATCCAGCTCCTCAAAGCGGAGAACCAGAAACTGGAAAAGGAGAGGGACTTCCTGGAAAAAGAAGCGGAGGAGCAGAGGAGGCAGCTCCGGAGGTGTGAGGAAGAGCTCGACATGCAGAGGGAGAAGCTCAGAGACAGCATTCCCTATAGCTTTGTGAAGAATCAGATGCTGAAAAGAACGATTTCACCCGAACAAAAGCCTCACGTGGTCAGAAAGCCCAGCCAAGACGTGCCCCTCCAGAAGCTCGAGTCCTTCCAGAAGCAGCTGCTCGCTCAGACCGAGGAGCTGACGAAAACGCAGAAGCTGTGTGAGGAGCTCAAACAAAATCTGACGCAGGTGTCCTTCCAGTTCCAGCGGTGCCGGATAGGAGCCAGGGAGCACAAAGAAAAGCTCCAAGCGGTAACGGCCGAGAGGAACGCCTACAGGAGCGAGACTGAGAAAGTGAGGAACGAATTATCAGCTGTAAAGAAGGAGAAACTCAGCAAGAAACTGAAGAACTTGGTGACCAGGAAGACAAAAAAGATCAAGTCGTCTGGAGTCAAGTCCAGCCAGTCGGACGTCCCACTGCTCTCCTCAAAGCAGTCCGACTGCCAAACAATATCCAGAGAGGCTGACCCCGAACTGATCATCAGAGGGATAAAATATTAATCTGAGAGCTGGTTTGAGTTCATTAAAACTCCCGTCATAGAAATACATTAACGCCTTCGTGTTTAATCTGATGTAACAACGGTGCCTGCATGTGCTGTAACCTAACTGTCCATCCAGAGAGAGGATCATCTGTATATAAAATGCAAGTCAAAGTGCTCAGACCTTAACGGGAGAACAGACGTGAAGAAGGTCATTAACGTGGACCTGTAAACATTCCTTCAGTTCATTATCTTCACAAAATCTGCTCTAAGAGTTTTGATTTATTGTTTTCTCAAAAACGTCCATCTGTAGATTTAAAGAAACATTAATCCGTTCCATCTGGTGTCTAGCAGGTAGTGTTTGAGAAATTCTACCCAGAAAGCAAAAGTTACTCATTAAACATTTGGTTGTAGTTGTGAGACATGTTGTTCTATTGTCGAGGTTAAACGAGTCAACTTCTAGTCAATGTTTGTTTAGAGAGGAAGCAGCATTTATTTTGAAAAGCTTTAAAACGAGAGCAGAGCGAAGAATTCCCTTAAATAAAATGCTAGAATTAATTAATGTTGAATTTGCACAAATAGTAAAACAATTAATTATCCTTCATTCTTGTATGCAACTGTTTTATGAAACTACATTTGTGTCATTTCCTGTTATCCAAAATATGATTCTACGTCCTCAGACTGTTGCAACTGTTTCACTTCCGTCTTTATGTGAAGACACAAGTTTGTGAGTTTTGCAACCGTTCTGTGACCTTTTTAAGACCTCGACTCACTCCTGCTCTGGGTGTTCCCACTCTGTTTTAAATGTTCTGATAATAACTCCAATGATTCAGTAACGTCACACATTCCCTCCAGTTTTACAAAACAGCTACGTTTATTGATTATCTGAGAAAACGTTGGAGTGGACGCTCACAGTTAAGTCGGATGAAATGAAGCGTACAGCCAGCAAAACTATAAAAAGTAACCAGAAACTACAACAGCAAGCAAGAAACATGCATTAAAATTAACTTGATCTTATTTACTTTTTGGAACTGTGACTGGGTTTGCTGATTTTATGAAGACAAGAACTTTTTGTGGTGGCCTGATGGCCTCCAAAAGGGGGCGGTGCAGTGCGTAATGTGAGGTAGCTTCAGTCTTAACTAAGATTTACTTCCCGTGCAATCATAGTTTGCTGCTTTGGTTTACATCAAATTTATTCTCTTTGCTTTTGCAGCCGACGACAGCAAAAACAAGTCGATATTCAGCATGGGAGAGATCACCAGACTGATGAAGTTTCCAGGAGTGACGCGAACTTTCCTCGTCAAGATCGTCGCAGGTTTGCCGTCAGGTGAGAGTTAACGTGAGAAGAGGTTTGGTTCAGGACTTTGGTTTCATTTTTATGTCATCATTATCACTGCAAACTGTATTTACTACAGGAGTGTCCTTTTCCTGTGCAACAGATACCACAGATATCTTTAAAATGACATATTTTTATGCCTCCATTTATGTTTCTGGTTTGTCCATCCATCCCATCCTCGTGAATCTTTTTAGGCATTGGTGGGAATTTTTCAGATTTGGCACAAACGCTCACCTGATTTTAAGGAAGTCACTGAGACCTCACACAACATGTTTATGGCCATAACTCAAGAATGCAACTGATATTATGACAAATGTTCACATAATAGGACAAAATAAAGTGATGAGAATGAATATCCAAATGGTCAAAGATCAACAAATGCTCTGCAAAGACGCTGTTCTGGCCATTATTCAAAAGAATAAATCAGGAACAAAAAGATAATTGTACCCAGATTTCACATTTGGTCAGATATTGATGCAGTGACACTAATCTTGGATGCCTGCCTATTAAATTCCTACACAGTCGTCACTTCATACATGATTTGTGTCTGTTATTGATGTAAACTGTAGCTTCACTGTTTGGTGAACGCATACAGCCACAAAGCTAGATTTTACATGTTCTTGCTGTTGTTTGGCAGAATTCTTATCTTCTGGAAATCTGCTGGATCACAAATATACATACAGCAACGCTAATGTTGGGTGAAACGTCGTATTTTCACCTCAACTAGGAGCTTTTGGGAGCTTCTGGTTGTATCTCTTGACATACTTGGTGCAGTTAAACTAAATGTGTTGTCTTTCTGACACAGACTTTTGTTGTCATCAGTCTGCAGGTTCCTGATGGGTTTAAGTCAGAACTTTGAGGAAACCAGTCTAAAACCTCGCTTCATTTAGCCATTTCTTTACCACTTTTGATGTGTGTTTGGAGTCTTGTTGGAACACTCGACTGCGTCCAGTGTATTTAAGTCTAACAGAAGCACTGCTCCTGTTTCCGAAGGCATCTTTCAGGTGATGTTCTCCATCATTGCGTTGGAGTTCTTCAAGCTGCAGCCTGAGCAGAACGGCTACCTGATGGCTTACTTTGGCATCGTCCAAATGGTAAAAACAGAAATACAGTCCGATTGTATTGTCGGCGCTCGATGTGCTTTGGCTGCTGATGACACCAGACTGTAAGACGAAGAGAGTAAAACCAGATGTTTGTTCAGGTTCTTCAGGGAGGAGTGATCGGACGCCTCACAGCGAGATACTCCGAGAATTCGATGCTGCTTCTGTCTATTGGAGTCGCTTCTTTAGTGGGACTTGGTCAGGTACGCTTCAAACACACTGAAACATCACAGCTGGATATGCTTCTGCTCTCTGATCCAAATCATTTAACATTTGGTGTGTGCCCATACTGTTTTTCTAGAAAATACTCATTTCAAGTATTGTAGACGAGCTGTAGTGGCTGGTTCTGTCGCTCTTGCTTTTTAATGCTGTCGTGACCAGATTAGGTGGGAACTTCCACTTTGGCCAACAGAGAGCATTGTGGGAGTTTAGCTAGTAAAGAAGCAGTCTTCTCTGAGGCTCAAAGACCTCTGGCCATCGCACTAATATCAAAACAAGCTGGGGTGAGCTAGAAGAGCACTGCTGTAGCCTGTGATGAATGAAGCAGCCATTTTTGTAGTTTGTTTCACCCATGTGACAACAGAACGTTATTAAAGAACTGAGCTACCTATAAATACCTATAAATGGACTTTTCCGTGATCCCTCGTTGTTTTCACTGTTGCTACATGGGTGCAAACGAGTTGGGAGGAGGTGTTATACGCCCACGTTTTCCTTAACAAATGGAAATAAATTGAAAATAAACAGGAAATAACATAGAAGCTCGGATATTTCCGTTTATATTGAATGTGTGGCTACACCCTCGATCATATCTTCTCAAATCTTTAAATGTAGATAAATATTTTTGAACTTTTAGCATCTTTAAGAATATTTTCTTGAGGAATCTGTGATAGCCGAGTAATGCAAACATTCCTTCCCTGCTCAGCTGCTGTTATTTACACATTTCCTCCTTTGTGCAGGCCTACATGCAGACTGTGTTCCAGCTGTGCCTCATCGTCGTCCCGATGATGTTTTCTCTCAGCATGTTTAACGTCATCACGGACAGCATCCTCACCAACAGCGTACCTTCCTCCGACACAGGTGAGTTCATCCCAGCAGGCGTTCACGGGAACATGAACAGCAGAAACTCTGAGCCTGACAAAACCTGATCACTTGATGTGTGACTGCATCTAATTAGAAGCTTACAAAATGAAAATGTGTGATGTTTCAGTGTCAGGTGCAAAAACACCTGCTCAGGTCATGAAAAACCACTGATTGCTGTTAAATCACACTTTCTTTGAACACAAGGTGACGTCTCCAAGTCTCCTGTTAACAATCTGAGACCTTTTAAACATTTGATTTAGAAAATCAACAACCGCTAACTTTAAATCAGATGGTGATAGTTAAGTTTTTAATTGAACCTCCTCTGTTCTCGTACACAGGCACCATGCTGGGACTCTGTGCGTCTGTTCAATCGCTGATTCGCACAATCGGACCAACTATTGGCGGCTTCCTGTATGTGAGCTACGGCATTGTTTCTATAGGTCTAATTCAGTTTTTTGTAAATGTTGGTGTGCTTGTTTACTTGATGCAGCAACGCCTCAACAAGACAGCCGAGCGGAAGCATTGAAATCTTGTGTCTGTCTCCGATTTATCCAAAAACTTTTTAAAAAGAGGAGACGAGACAAAAAACTGTTTGATTATAGGAACAATCTTTTTGATTTTTTTGTAATATTGTATGTTTTCTCTGTTCCACTAATAACAGAATGAGATCAGACCAACTCAGACCTCCAGTTCATTAGTATTCAGGTTTTATGTCCTGTTGAAGTTGTGGTGGAGATTCAGGAGCGAGCCACTAGATGGCAGCAAACCCTCCGTTTTAGTTGGTGCTGATTTTATTTTACATCCTTCAGAGAAACACGTTTAAATCACTTTGCTGCCATTGAAATTTTCTTAAAGATGATCAGAAATATTGAACGGGTCCAGCCAACAGCATTCCTACTTGAACTTAGTGATATGTAGAAAAAAAAAAAAGAAGAAAGAATTCTATTAAGTGCAATAATGAATGTCTGTTTGCTTTGAAAAGGTGCGCTGAACTCAAGAATTTTAGCACTTAAATCCTTTTTTTTTTTAGAGGCATTTATGTCTATTACACATACATCTGTGGTAGAAACTGATAGTGATAGTGGAAATGTAAATATAATTATTATTATCAGAACATCTCTGCCACTTTGGTGCCAGTAAAGTCTTTAAAGAAGTTTAATCAGCTGCAACAGATTCTTATCTGCTGTAGTGATGATCATCCGTCCATACTCAATATTATAACTATCTGATATTAGCGACTAGTTCATTTTTACATTCAAATGATGCTACAAACACATGACGGCCTTATAAAATACAGCATGTTGTTAGAAATTACGAAACTGGTTGGAAGGATGCTCTGGTGTAGTGAAGCCTGTCTGAGGGCTACATATGTGCTCATAGAACTGGAGATACAAGAACTTTTTAATGGAACCATTTCTGTCATTTTACCAGAGGAACCGTCGTCCAGTCGTTCTGACCAACCAGCAAACGTTTGCACTGATTTTATAGCAATTCAAAGCTTTTGTATTATTGTCACTGAAAAATGTAAAAACAGTATAAAAGTGCATCTATTTTGTATACGTAAATAAATAATCTGTACGTGTTTTCAGGAGTTACAGTGTGTGTGATTTCAGTTTAGCGGTTGATTCAACTGAAGCTCAGATTCTACAACGTGAACTGCATAAGAAAATGACCAAAAGAACACTTGGTTGACAGAGATTTGCCAAAAATATGATTTCAGTTCCTCTGTCACCCCAAAGTAAGTTATGATCTCAGCCTGGACACCCCATACAAACTGTCTGACTCCATCATCGACTGATTCCCAACACTTTGAGCTCATCAGCCGAGTTTCACATTTCACATATTTGAGAGTTATTATCAGATCTGGCCATTTAAACTTCTAATGTGGGTTTTAATTGTTCTTGACCTAAACAAGTAACGTGATTCAATACTTACAATACTTCAATACATTAAAAACAAAGATGAGAGAAAATGTTTGAGATCAATCTTGCGTCCCTATTAAGGACCCCGACCTCTAGGTTGGAAACCACTGGACTGAACTACCTCCAGCGACTGTACAAGAAGTAGTTAAAGGTTGTTATTTTCACCTTAACCAGTTAGAATAGAAAACATTATTAACAGACTAATAATGGATCTAATGACAGGATTTTTTAAAAAACTTTTGACTCTTAAAATAAATGTTGCTTCTAATCCTCCTGTAATTTTACTTAAAAAGATTTTTAAATGAAGGAATAATTATTATAGGTTTTTACCCTATTAACACATCCATCAGTGTTTTTAATATGCAAATACAAAGAGACAAATAATGAGTGAAATAAGCTGTCAGTGCCATGATGCGTCATTTGTACTTTGCAACTGCAATTCTGGATTTGTGCTACAAACCGGAGAAATGAAACCTGTCAGCTTGCAGGATGGAGCTTCTTCTTCAAAATCAGTTTCTTGCTCCGATATACGTGGCTGAGCTATTCCAATGCTATTCTGTAGCGTAGTTTTACAGTGTCTAAGGAGATTTGTAGGTGAGCTGGTGTGCTGAGCTGCAGCGCTTTGCATTCTAAAGATATTTTGAGGCATTAAGTGTTTTTATTGGGGAAAAAAAACAACTTTACATAGCACACAGATATGAGTTTTTAGGGGTTTAATCAGTGGTTAGAAAGGTTGACCCATCAGCTGAGTTGTTACAGTGAACACTACATTATGCTAATGCTGTCAGGCGATGAGTCGCTGGTTCGATTTCCAGCCAGATGAAGCTCTACTACATGCCAGCCCCCTGCTATGTTCCCTCCTGTTAAATAAAGGCAATACATGCCCCCCTGAAAAGGATTTTTATAAGTATTTGTATGAACAAATATTAAAATCACTGATGCAGAAAAACACATGACGTGCTCTGAGGAGGATAAACAAATCCTAATGATTAGATTTAATCGCGGTTATTCTCTGGTATATTTACATACAGTTTTTCTGCTACATCCGGCTGCCAAGCTGCAACATGTTGAAGTGATGTCACACAATCTGCAGCAGGTGTTTTCATTGTTTTACGCTGTTTCTGAAATATTGCATCCAGCAATCCCAGATAAGCATGATCTTATCTCAGCAGTAGGGGGTGAGAGCTACTGCGGACCCAGCTGCACCTTCAACAGATGTCGCTGGTGTGAAATCAAATGAAATATCTGATGAAAGAAGCCACACAAAACAGGAAACTGTGACGATTACATGTTTTAAGCTGCATGGAAATGGACACATTTCTTTATTTTCAGTGCAAAATAAAAGGAAAAGATGTTAGAGTCTGTTATTTATAGGAGATGTTTTGGAACAAAGCAGCGGAGTATTGAAAACTAGACTAAAATAAGTTTACTCTCCAATTTAGGATATAAAGGCAGACATATTACTGTGAAATATGATTTTATTTTGTGAAACTTTTACATCAAATGAAGCATCATATGGATAAAGCTGCATCTGATGAGTTGTCAGCTATTAAATTAATACTTAACTATTTTATGACTCCAATAATGTAATATTTTAAGACAACAAAAGCCTAAATTCAGCTTTTTAAATTTTTATATTTTCACGTTTCTTTACTCCTCTATGACAGTCAACATGTCATATCTTTGTTTTGTCTTGTTGGCTTTTCTGACATTTTATAGATCGAACAAGTCATGGATTAATCTGTCCATGTAGGTTTTAAGTCATCCAGGTTGTCCAATCCTAGTATGTCCACTAAAAAACAACCAGACTTCCTTTTCAGGTAGATAAATATCAATTTTAAATCAATTTAGGTAACCTAAAAGAGTCCAGTTGCTTTTTACTGAAGCTCCCAGGATAACTGATCAATCGAGATAATTGAATAATCAAGAAAATAACAGATAAATCGACAATAATCATGAGTTGCAGCTCTGGACTGGATAAAAATGTAAAAAAATGTATTTCACGTCCACCATAAAGATTTAAAAAACACCTCAAACAGACAGACGGATCAGCTGCAGTAAATAAGTTCTCTAAACACACTCTCTGCAAGAAAAATATCGTTCTGCACGCATTTCAAGTGTTGATTTAATTTTTTAAAAAAAACCCAAAAACTCATAGTAAGAAGACAGCAAAGATATATTTAGTGAGTCTTAGTTGGCAGCGTGTAACAGCCGGTTATTGGCGGACTGCACCTTTAATGTGATCAGCCGTCTCAGTGGTGAATCCCATCATCTGAGTCTGATCCCACACCTACACCTGCTCAGCCGCTCGCTGCCGCCTGAGCCGACAAAACGAACGTCCTGCAGAACGCCGCACATCCGCTGCACATCCGCTGCACATTCGCTGCACATTCGCTCCTGAATCTTGTATCTCTGCCTCGCGGAGACGCTGGAAAGGAGCTGCAGATGGATTTGAAGGCTGTCACTGTATCTGTGGACCCGGGGGGGCGGTCCTGACCACTGGAGGGGGTGCCCTGTTACACTTGGCCCTTTGAGTCAGGGGGAGCCGGGACAATGCTGCTGTTAACACTCCTGACGGGGACCTTTGGGTCCTCTGAAACTTTAATGTGACTCTGCCAGCGACCTGCGCTCGCTGAGGTCAGAGATGAGCTCGGCCCGGCGGCGGTCCAAGGCCGCCTTGTGTCGGCGCATTGGAAACTAAACGCCAGCGGGGGGGCCTTCGGGTCCCGGGCTTGTTTTGTCCCCTGTGGCATGGATAATGAGGCATCTGTCTCCACCTGCCGCATGGAGAGATGAGGCTCACTGTCTCGCTTAAAAAGAGAGCACAGGTTACCTATCTGATTTGTCCACGGCGGGCCAGGGACATGATCTGAAGCAGAGGAGCCTCCAGTCTAAATGTTTTATACCGCGGCTTTCTTATTTCTGCTGGTGCTGCACCACACGACGCTCCTCATCAGACGGTGTCCTGTTGGGTGCATCTAGCAAATTACAATCAATCAGACATGAGCAAGTATCACCGAAACTTAATTACTTTTACCCAAACGAGCGTGTGACAGTAGAATCACTCTCTTCAGTTATCATTTAGTGTCTGGTTTTCCATTTTATCAGCTTTGTTGTTGGGGAATAGTTTTCATGGTGGTAGCTTTCATAACTGAAGAATTGTCCAGAGGTCAAAAGGTTAAAGCCTGCTGCCCAATAGAGAAGCCATGTTCACAGCCCTGAACAGTTTTTCTTTGTAAAGATTACAGAAACCTGTATCACAATGTTTAAACCAGTTGAGAGCCAACAGGACAAGAGTTTGTGTTACTCGGCGATGATGTACTTTAATTCTCCATATTGTAAACAATGTTGTGTTTACATCTTATTTAACTGTAGAATTTTCCACACAAGTGCAACTCCTTCTACTGATGTATTTTCTGAGTCACATCAGTTGTTTTTCTGTAAACCGGTTCACAACACGGAGCTGATTCTTGCTCAGAAATAATAGAAAGCTGCATGTGACAGCAGCTCGTACTTCCCCTCCAGCAGAGCTCGCGGAGCTCGTGGAGTTGGCCACGGGAACGAAAGGTGATCTTAGGGGGGTTTTGTCTTGGTGTAATCAGACAGCGACATCATCAATCATGAGAGGGGGAATTACAGCGGCCTACAATGGGAGATAAGATAATGAGTGGGGCCACAGCGACCTGCTGAGGGACAGCTCGAGTTCCCGTCCTGATTACATGGCAGCGGCTTCGCTGCTCGCAAACCTGCAGAGGAAGAAAAACATTCAGCCATCCAACTGTGTTGAGCCTTCAAGCTTGAACATGTTATTTCTGGTCAGTTAACTCCGACTGGTAGCGAATTATCACGTTTTAATCAGTTTTCAGATTAGAACCCAGTAGACTTGAATCACTGACGTGTTTAATGTATGTACATTATGCACAGGACAACCAAAGACGGGGTCCTACAAAATACCAGTATTAACAATAACCATATTATTGTAGAAAATGAACTACTATGTAGGACTTACTCTGATAGGACAGCATCCCTAACGCTGTTTGACTGGTGTAAACAAGTCAATTGGTTGAAGCCCCAGTGCTGCAGAGCTGCTGCTGCTGGGCCAGTGAATGAGACTCTTAACTCCAGTTGTGCCTTATCATGGCTGAACCCAACTTCCTAAAAAGCTGGATATGCAGAAAGAAAGAAAAAAAAGAATNGCTGAACCCAACTTCCTAAAAAGCTGGATATGCAGAAAGAAAGAAAAAAAAGAATGTCATGGCTTTAGAGGCTAAGCCAATGCTTTAAGCCACTGAGGGAATCCAAACAGGAAACTGACGCGCTATATTACTAATGTCTAATGAATTAAAGTCATACTCCTATTGCTTTACGGTGCTCGTAGTGTCTTTATTTGTTATCCAAATCTTCTATAATACATATTTCCAACCAACATCTATGCATATGGTAAGCTTCAGCGTGTTGCTCAGCGGTCAAAAACTGATTTGTGCCCTTCTGGCTGGAAACCCTACCGAGACAGAAAGGTTCCTACCTCGTATAGACAAACTGACAATCAACACACATTAACGTGAGACACCAAATACACAACAGCATTTCCTGATCTGCTCCTACAATGGCTTTTATTTCTATCAAAAGTACACATATGTTAATATTGTAAACAATCCAGTGCCAGGAA